GGATTCTACTATTTCAGCGAATCATTGTAATCACATTCAGAGAATACTTAGAACCCACGACCGCTTAAAAATGTAGTCAGCAATATCGCCAAAGTTTTTATCAAACAGAACTTCGAACTGCGATCCCGTTCGATATTTCTGGCCATTTTATTGTGCATCCATGATAAAGAACGTATAACTTGCCACTTCACAACAACACATCCAGCTTTTTTTCAACTTATGAATGAATCATAGAGAATCTGTTTGGTGGATAGTTAGGTATAATTTAAAAGTTGAACGGAAAATGAAATAGGTCGTGTCGAATCTGCAGTGAAAGATTTCAATTTTCGTGATCGAAACTCATATTTGAGCAAGCTGCGAAATAAGTAAATGATCAATATACAAATCAGACAGTAGTATGAAAACCCTCTTAATTCGAAAGACTGCAAAAAGCTACCTATCCTTCAAAAATAAAGACTCTTTTGAGTGCTTCGAGGAAGCTAAACCTTCCATTGAGTCGAAGAAATCGAAAACAATCAGGGTATGATTCTCATTGAATGCAGCTCCCCGATCAGCGATCCCTAAAAGTAATTTATCCTTCAGTTCATTTTAACGCTCAAATTCGATGATAATTTTGAACAATTTTGAAACCACTTATATCTAGATAGTCGAGATATATTTATGCGTGTCTACTGCTTCTGACCATTGTCTCCATCGGTAAAGCAGCACCTAGCCGTTCGTCGGCGCCCCTACGAGGTGTCACTCACGCCTAGAAGCTACTGATCTGCATAATCCCCATGCCACACAGTACTCATATTTCACAAGCTCCAGCCCACTGTAGTTTTGTTCAACTCAGGAAAACAATCAATTCTTCAGGCACGAACTCTTCACTTGATACTGGAAATTACTTATTCATTAAATTTATTTCTAACAAAGAGTGTTCCGTGACCACTGCTGAGAACCTGCATTGAAACAAAAATCGCCATTCTCAACATCAAGTATCATCAAACAGAAAACCGACTCCCATTTCAATACTGAACACTTCCCAGATGAAATAGATTTAAAATATTCCCATTAGAAACTAGTTGATCATCAGCGTATCTGAAAATGATATTAAGGGTACGCTTCATCCCAGAACAAAATTCAGTTATGCTTGTATGATTCTTCGCAATCTCGAAGACACTGTTTTTCTAAGAAGATCAAAGACAAAACTCTCATAGCCAAAATGAAGTACAACTTCTGAGACCTCGATTATCTATGACCAAACTAGATACAGTCTAAATATCTGCCAAAACATACTAACGTAAGCTCTAGAAAATTCATTTCGAGATTTTTAAAATCTGACTTCGGATTCGGATGTCCAGACCCCGATTTACTTCCGTCAACCTTTATACAATATCAACGGTTTCCCAAAACTACCATTTCCGTCATCCGAAAAACGGAACTCAAAATTTCTAAAATCTGATTTCACATTCGGATTCCCCGATCTCGAGAACCTACGGTAAATTTTCATAAAAAAAATTGAAAAGCTTAGAAATAACGTCAACGGTAACCGATGTTTTTTCTGACCTGCCACAAGCATACAAACGCATTTTGTTTCATATGACCATCCCTACAGTCGATGTAATAGCCAAGTTCGACCGAAACGGCCAAAAGGCATAAAATGAGAGAGTTTATTTCCCTCGGCCAAAGAAATGGGCTTCGAATTCGGATTCAGGACCCGCAATAACCTACAGTACACTTCGATGAAAATGGCCTAAACTCTGAAAATATGCTAACCTCTCCTAAACGTTTTTTGACTCCAATCAACCAAGCAAGATCGCAAACGTATTTTTTTTTTCGTATGACCCTCCTTCCAGCCAAGGGAATAAGCATGCTGATTTTCATTCGATTTTATCATTAATCAGATTATCTTATAGTATTCTTATTTCTCATATAAAATGTGATTATACAATGAATAGGTGCAAAAACATTTTCGAAAAATTTGAAAACAAGACTTGTACATCACTAATTTCTGGTTGAATGGTAAAAAAAGTTATTGCTTTTTGCACAAGTCTAGTGGCGGCGCCACGGAGGGGGGGGGCTAGCGTGGGCTGCGCCCCCGCAAATTTTTTTTAGAAATTTCTTAATGAGTTTATTTTTTTCTGATATTAATACTGCGACAATACTATGGCTACGTCGTAGAGATTTGTCTTCAGTTTCTAATTGGTTGTTCACCGTAACTATACAAAAACTCTCTTCTGCTAATCTTGCCTAAATCTAAATCGTAATCTCCACAAATGCAATCTAAAAAACGTTATTGATTGCATGTTGGTAGAGCTAAATGATAGATTTTCATCGAAAACATTATCATTGATGAAAAGTATCTCCACCGTTTATCCAAATAGTACCAATTTTCTTAATATTGATGCTATCGATGAATTTTGCTTTCATATTGGTGGAGATTCAAGTGCACTCAAAAATGAATTTCTTGTTATTAAACCCATGCTTCAATCGAAAAAAGTCAATAATGTTATTGAATTGTATAATGAATTAATTTCAANTGAAAAACGTCTCAAAATGCACAAAAACTGCATCCAGAAATCAAATTGCCTAGTTTCTCATGATAATTTTGGCGTTCAGACATTCTAGAATGACTCATATGTCCCATGCACTTTTTGCAGTACACATAACTCTCGGATGAAATCCGAAGTTTCCACATTTATTTATGTATGGATGAAGCGAGTTATGCCCTTTAATTTCTAACATGTGAATTATTAAAGATGGCAAAAAAGGTAAACTTCGGCTTCGCCAAGAACATCATGGAGACTGTAATAGATACTGCTAATATATGATCCAAGGTTGAACATTAATAATGTCTCATTATAACACACGATCTGTTTTCTTATTGAATTTCCGGTTTACGAGACACAATAATGATGAATGAAAGGATCCTACAATAGATGGAATAAAGTATTTTTGTTGTGTGCGACGAATGGAGTTGCATCATATTGAATATTTTATTACATCAGGAAATATTTTCAAAACGTTTTTTTGGTCTTGAGTTTGTCTATACTCCTGGATAGGCATGAGGTCGATTCGGTCGAGTATAAAAGAACGCAAGCTGATTACAGTTATGATAATTAAATTGTAAGTTGACATTAAAATTAGATTTATTTTCTATTTAACGATTGACGTCTCTGGAATGAAGCAATCTCTAGACATGAAGTCTTAGTAAAACAAGATGAGATAACATAATAATTGAAAAGTTTTCTCTTTTTTTCTGAGTGACTGCAGCGCACAAATTAAAAACTCGTATCGTTACGCAAACAGAAAGACCTTTGTTTTATTCAAGATCAAACAAACAGCATTTGTTTATATGAAAAATCTAAAGTGATTTTCGTATTTATACATATATTTATGTGATGATTACAGCATCGCTATTCATAACATTCTGTGGGCATCCATCAATATAGCGAATGAAATGGTTAAAACAATCTAATCTTTAACTAGCTACGCATGGAAAATTTATCTCGTTCTTTTACATCTAGAAATCACTTTCAGTAATAGTTTTATAGATTCTATTTTTGAATCACGATACAGTCTGCTGAACTGTCAATATATTACAGTCGTATTGATGACATTATTAGGTACGTAGTCATGGTAATTCTATATTTGTCTTTGTTTGATTCTTCCAATGTCATTTTACTCGTTCGTTAAAAGTACTATTTGTTCTGATTGAACATATTGAAGAGTCGAACTTTCAACGCACGAAATAATTTCGTATAATGTCAGTGAAGAGAAACTCAATACTTCTTCGTAATGGAGACGTTTTTGTTGGCAGACACATCCTCTGCTTTCTTTTGTTTGGCTTTCATATTTCATTTGAGCATCGAAGTAATTTATAATCTAATAATGTACAAGGTTTGAATGGTCGCGATAGCCTTCGAGAACTGTAGAAAATGTATTTAAAACAAACCAAGAAGTTATTCATCACAACTAAGAACGCAGAAGCAGAAAAATATTATACTTCTTGATACTAACATAATAGTACGATTATATACAAAAAAAGAAGAATTGAATCACGACAAAAATAGTACTGCAGTAATTTTGTAATTAGATGCAATAGCTCAGTTGGTGATACTCACGCAATATATTATGCGATTGTCTCTGCATAATACTATGATCTTGAGCTTAAGAGGCCATGAATAGCTTATTAATGAATTGGCTAAATTTGATTTTCTTCTGAAAGCTGCCACAGTTTATCAAGAGTAACGAATGAGCTTATCGTTTGTTTATTGCGTCTGTATTTCATTAAATAGTAAAATCTAATTCATTGCACAACAACCTTGAATACTCTTAATGGTAGTCAAAGATTAAATAGTCTTTTTAATGATAAACCAATATCCTTATTCGTACCCTTCGACTCATATCTATTCTTTTTTTTTTATTAAAGATGATACATCTTAAAATCTACCGTAAATGTACAAATTACAAGTTGATATAGATAGCCAATCTCGATTTAATACTTTGAATTTTAACAGCACATGCTCACAAATAACGTCAACGTTTTTTTCCCGTCATCTCTCAAGCTGAACCAAGCGGATGAAACGGATAATGCTGCTCAACAAATTCTAAAAATTAACCAAGAGAACCAAAACAGCAATACTTCGGACACTACAGGACCAGAATACTTGAATTTATCATAAAGCGTCTCTTCTTTTGAGAGATTTGGTTGCCAAGAGCTCATAATTGAAGTAAAACATTTATTTATTTATTCAGTAAGAACATTTGTTGCACATGTTTTATTTCGCGCACTTTGTTTTAGCTACTAAAATAAATATAAAAAGAGCCAAAGGTAACAGTTTAATAGTATCCAATTTTGACATTCGTGACACCTTGATCTCAGCGGCAGAAATTCGATTCCAAAAGCTTACAAAGTTCTATTTTGTTAATCATCAAATTACGTTGAATGCATGAAATTGATGACGTTTCATTTTTTCAGTGAATTTCATATTCATCGGCTTCGCAAAAATGCTTTTATTTGAAAGAGCAGACAGAGAGAGAAAAATATATATACAGGAATATCGAAATGATTTAAACATCTATAGTATTTACTCTTTACATTCAGTTTCAAAAATGGTAAAACTCTTATATGAAATGTATGTATATCATACTATATCTTAAAGTCGACTCTATCATCTATCTAAATTTATACTATTTATTAAAAAGAATGTTGCTTAACTATTTTTTCAAATTGTATCATTATCATGGATAAAGAATAGTAGTAAATAACTTATTTAGTGGAAGGAAGTTACTCAGCGTCATTTATTATTAAATCCAAAGTTTTTAATACAAATAGAACGCTATACGATCGTGAGAATGTTTTATTTGATTCTTAATCATTACATGACTTGGAGTTTGCTCGCGAATAAATGAGATCTTTTTTAAAATTCACTTATATGTAACTTGTAGCTTTTAATGCGATGCGAAGCAGAAGCATTTCTGTAGTTCGTCACGAGTTTTTTTTTCTTTTTTCCTTGGCCGTACACATCGTTCTCGTCGTTTCGTGACGCGATGATGTTCATGACCGAAAATCGTAGAAAAGTGGTTATAACGTGAGATCAAAGTATCGTGATCGGATTTCGTACCTCTGTTTTCGAATCTTTAATCCGAAGTTTCGTTCGCTCACAAATGGGGTTCCAAAACGACGAAAATGAAAGAAATTTGTCTTGAGATAATTAAAATGACGTCATCAACATATGTTAGCCACTGTAGTCTATTCATTTACAGCTGATCTAAGAAAATGAATCTTGGAGACTGGTAATCGATCAATCGAAATCGATCCTTAAGAATGAATCGCTAAGTTTTCAGAGTGATGAATAGCACTATGGCTACTTCAAAAGTATTTAAGATTTCTTCGAATTCATGATTTCTCGTTGGAAATCCGGACTCCTGCTTCGCATCGTATTTCGTATACGAGTGACACTCGAATACCATCTAGTTAAAATCAGTAAACAAAAATTGAATTTTATAAGTTTTAGATCGATGAGCGGAATGACTTTGAGCTATCGCATGCTATACATATATTCTTTTCATTTATCTATTTGAATATATATTTTTTTTTGTATCATATGTATGTTAATAAACAGCTGGAATAGGTCGTTTGAGAAATTCTTTCCATGCTTGTTTGAGATAGGCTCGAAGATCTTCGTATCGTTCTTGTTTTGTACAAATGCGTAGTTGAGGTAAATGAGTTTTTGAACATGAGGATGTACTCTAAATATGTTGGCATTTTCTAATAGGGTAATTACAAATAGAAGAAAGCTTACAGCTGGATACGTTGATAGATTGTCGTTCATGTTAACAGATATTTCCATACGAGATTCAACCGGAGCAGGTACGTCGTTGCCTTCGCTGGATAGACTATTTCAAAAAATAATAAAATTAATAAAGTGTTACTAATAAAAATAAAAACCGGACAAAATAAGAAGTACGCATGAGGAAATTAGCTGTAATCTGCCGTTTGGACTTACAGGGATATGACAATAGGTCCAGAGAAGCCTTAAATGAGCTCATACTCATAGATTTCTAGCATATATTTATCAATATTGTACTGCGCCAAAAAATCATGAAAAAAGTAGTGTTATAACTTCATTCGAGAGACTCAAATTGTATCAACCGTTTGTAGCTTTTACTATTCTTGTAGGCTTAACCAGCGATTAACAGCTATGGTAGATTCCCTCTAATCATTCAATCCTGAATTAAACATAACATGACAATTACATAGAATTTTCGTTTTAAAAAACTTCTTTGTTTTTTTACCTTGACGAAAGGCCAGTACCGTCTGAATGTGATTCTAACGTATCCGCTGGTGTTGAACGTGATAGAGCACTTCCTGTCACGCCTTCAACGTTCTAGAAAAAGAAAAAGAAAAAATAGGAAGTCCTATTGTTTAGTTAAACATTTACAAATCGTGTTAATGAACGTATTTGTGTTTTTGAATCGTCACCCATTTGTGCATGCCATTGTTTCAAACGGTCTTCGATTTTAGTAACACGTATATGATCATTAGTAACATAATGTATTGCAGCTGCTTTGCCGAGTGATCTTGCGCGTAATGAACGTGTTGTTGATGCACTATTTGTTGTTGATGTATGACCCGATGTTGCACCTGGCCGACGAACATTCTAAATAATTTTTATTCAACAGTAAATTGAAGTGAACGAAATTATCTAACATACAGAATGAGTTGCATTATGAAGATGAAATAACCATGATTGTTTAGCATGATATTGCTGTTGTTCATCATTTGTTACTGATGCCAACTGACGTTTCATTAAAGAATTAATTAATGGCAAATGTAATATTCGTGGTGGATAGGCTTGTAATGAGAGAAGAACGATTTCGCGTAAGCGTTCGCTAAGACCTTGTGTACCATGACGTTTTTGTAAACGAACAAAATTATGTTTTAAAATATAGAAAAGATCACAGGGCGCTGTACATCGAGCTGAATTCATATGTGTATTTAAATCGCAGACGTAAGATTCGAGACCAATAATATCACCCGTATTTAATAGAGCAACTTGTTTATTTCGATGGGAACGTTCGCGTTCAGCTTCAGCAAATGTCATATAACGTCGTTTTATAGCAAAACTCTCTCGCGATACAGTATCAGTTGGACGCGTAAGTTGAAGCATCGGGAGAAAGAGTTCAAAAGCACGTCTACACACGTAAGATATTGAAATGAAAAAAGAAATAAGTAGCTAAACAAAATTTACTGTTTCATTGGGTCTGACTGTGGAAGAAGATGTGGATATTGAAGCCAATGAAGTAATGGATCTATGCTTAATTTAACTTCACCACTAGTTTAATGGAAAATGTAGAAAAACAGTTTCAAGTAAAAAATAAAATTTACTCTACCTCCATATAAAGTAAACAGCATCCGCATAGGTGCCTTGCTTATAAAGCATACTATCATAGGCAAATCGACCACGTTCTAAACTAAGACTGACAAGACGTTTCAATCTTGCTGACCATGAAGAAAATAAAGGACATCGATTAATAAATTCCGTTTTTTCTTGTAATTCTTTTTCGTGTGCTGATTTAAGTGTACTATTCGAACAAAATTCTTATGAATTTCGAAAAAAAGATTTATTTATAAATCAGCTACTTACCGACTAAAAACTTCTCGATCAACAACCAATAAATCTGTTGCTATAGTTGTCATCACAGTAGCACTACGAGGTTCATTTGTAATAAGCGCTCGTTCACCGAAATCAAAACCACCAACTGTAAAATGTTCACCATTTATTAATTATTAATACTACTATCCCAATAAGATAATCAAACATAGATCTCTCTCTCTCTCTCTATCATGTGTGAAGAGCTTAAGCAATGAAGGACAGGAAATATGGCTCTAGCAGACACGCAGCTAGTATTTTTCTAACTCTTCGATCAAGAAAAAAACGCTATTGTTTCATTTTCTGATTGATATTAAACAGAAAAAAGAGTCTTTCTTTTTTGAGACCATTGATCTTATTCATATTTCAAAATTCATGCAAGAGAAACTGAATTTTTGTTTTTTTCGATAGACTTGCGATCAACCAGCAAATAAAAATAATATTTGATAGTAACTGATACATATAAGTAAATAAAACTGGTGAAGAATTTCTCGTGATGCGCTAGATCGTGACTTTTCTAAAGCTAACCAATGAATTAGTTATTTTTTTTCCTATAAATACCTAAAGTAACAACATAATTCCCGAAAGTTTGTATTATAAGTTCTTCGCGTTTTTCTGGTTCAGCATCAAGTTTAGTAAATTCAGTAACTGAATCGAAATCTTCAGGTATTGCTTGTGGGCTATCGTCATCAAGACGATAGATATTAACGGATCCTTGTAATATAATATAGAATCTAGTATTAAAGAAAAAGGACTCAACCAAGAAGTAACAATACAATTTATTGAAATCAACTCACGTATCACCTCGATCATTTTGACGAATAACAACATCCCATGCCGGACGTCGTTCTATCATGATTGTCTTACAAATATCGTAGATAACATCTTCAAAATACAATGATACATATATACATTCGAACGAAAATTTCATCGTTTGTTACCATCAGAAATTTTTTGAAAGATTCCCTGCTTCTTTTTTAATGATTGTTTAAGCCATGGAACGATAAAATCATTGATTTCCGTTGGTGTTCGTTGTTCAGGTAACTTACTAGCAGCACGTATTAATGTTCCATAATTAAGCGCCATATCAAGATAACTTCAATCAATATTGAATTCTATCTTTTAGCTGGCAGTTTAACAGTTTTTGAAGAAAGAAGTAACGAGAAGAATAAAAATGTTATATTCAAAAAAGAAAGAGAGAAAAGGGTGTATGTGTTCTCTCTCCCTTATGACGACCGACACAAGGGCATTATAGTGTTCGGCAGCATGATGATCAAACAAACGTTATTGTCGCTGTTTGCAATTCGAGTGTCCACACAAGATGAAATGCTGTGAGCGAAAAAAAGAGCAAGAGAGTCAGTTCAATCAATATAAGAAAAGAAAAGAATAAAATAACATGAGAATGGAACTGAAAAGAGATACGCTGTATCAACCATGAGTGTATGTTTTGTTGTCATGTAGAGCAACAATAACAGTGCAATCAATTTCAATATCGATTTCTTTACACTTATCAAAAAATAACTTCGTTTTCTTTTTTTCATTTCGTAAGCATGCATTTAAATCATCTTGATATGAACTTCTATTTTCTAACTCAACAAGAACTTTAATCCACACGGTGATATCTGATTCATTCTTTCTTCCTTTTTTGTTTGGTAAGCTGATGCTAAATACTAATCTAATCCGACTTTTTCGATAATATATCAAGTGAAAGCAAATTAAAGTTGACGCATTTCGGCGTCGAAATATTTACATCTTCGACACACAAAACCCCTAAAGATAACGTTGTTTTACATAAAATAATCGATATGTTGATTTTTTTGGAAAACAGGATTGTACTTCGCGTATCATCTTTTTCAAGGTAATGCAGTACTTGAAACGAAGTTCGTAAGTTTTCTTGTCCTCGAAATTATTTCATTGTATTTAGTTTTTTTTACATTAAGCCAACAAGGTCAATAGATAATAATAATAATAATCATATTCTACTATTAACAACAAAACATTGCTTATTTAAATAATATGTAAACTTCTTTTTTTCTCGTTTGTCATCAGTTACATTAGCAACATATTCGTCTTTTTTTTTATTGTTTATTACGAAGGTCGATACAAGGAAAAAATAAACTACAGTTATAGAAAAATGAAACAAAACAAAAATATATCAATTGAGATTTTCTTATTCTTTTTAACAATCCCATTATGTGAAATTGATCGCTTTGCCAAAGTATGCTTGAAGATGTGCTTCTTTCAATGATTCCGACCATGTCTAAAATGCGAAATGTAAAGTACAAGAAAAATAAACAATAAAATGATTAATTCTTACAGGATGCGCATGACAAATACGTGATACATCTTCACACGATGCGCCATATTCCATCGCCAATGTTATTTCATTAACTAATTCGCCGGCTACCTACGAAAAAATAAAATTTGTATTTTCTTCTGCTGTCAAATCGAAAAGGCAGATTTGAAAATTGTTTAAACATACTGAATTAATTATATGTACACCAAGAATTCGATCAGTTCTGTCATTGGATAATACTTTAACAAAGCCATCGATTTCATTGACTGTTTTCGCACGACTATTAGCTGACATAGGAAATCTACCAATTCTATATTTAACACCTTCTTGTTTTAATTGTTCTTCGGATTTTCCAACCCACGCAACTTCGGGATGTGTATATATAACGTTTGGCACGCAATTGTAGTCTATATGTGGTTTACGACCCGTAGCAATATTTTCAACACAAATAATTCCTTCATCTTCGGCTTTATGTGCTAACATAGGTCCTTGAATACAATCGCCAATAGCATAAATACCTTTGCACGATGTTTGAAAATTTTTATCAACATCGATTCGGCCGCGACTATCGAATTTAATATCTTAAATTAAATAAATTCATTAAACATTTAATGTCAAACATTTAGCTTTTACCAACACTATTAAGACCAAGATCTTTCGTGTACGGTCTTCGACCTATGCATACAAGTAGAGTATTACAATCAAGCTAAATGAATATTAAAAAACTGTATATGATTGATATCGAGAAAACATAAAATCATACATACTGTTTCATTGTTACCACCTTTCGCTCCTTCGAGTTTGACACGAATACCTCCATTTGCTTTTTCCGCACCGATTACTTTTGTATCGAGTTTAAATCTTAATCCTTGTTTAGTTAGAATTTTTTGAAACGCTTTGCTTACGTCCATATCAATACCAGTACCGCCAATATGAGATAAAAATTCTACACATGTTACTTCGGCACCTAAACGACTCCATACAGAACCCTATAGAATATACGAAAATTGTTCCTTTTCATGATAAACAAAATGACATACTAATTCAAGTCCAATAACACCTGCACCAATTACAACCATTTTTTTAGGTACTTGATTAAGTGAAAGTGCACCTGTCGATGAGACAATAGTTTCTTCATCGATCTAATAGTAAAAATAAATAAATAAAATTTCTGAGAAAATTATTTCTACATACATCTATACCAGGAAACGGAGTGACTTCTGAACCAACAGCGATGAGAATATTTTTTGTTGTAAGAATCTCATTCGTACCATCTTCCTTTGTGACAACAACTTGGCCAGGTCCACTTACACTACCATGACCCCGAATGCCAGTTACCTAAAATATTTCTTTCGGATCCGCTTTCTATCACTAATCGTTTTATTTACTTTATTAGATTTAAATAAATAAGCAACACCACTAGTCAAAGATTTCACCGCATCATCTTTTTGTTTCATCAGCACAGGTAAATTAAGTGAAACATCATCGACTATGTTAGCATTTTATATTTTTTTTAGAAGAATAATCTATTAATCACATACATTGGATGCCTCGTCTTTTAAATTCACCGTCATGAGCCATGTGATAGAGATGAGAGTTATGAAGTAATGCTTTAGAAGGAATACAGCCAACATTAAGACATGTTCCACCATAGGTTGCATTTCTTTCAACACATGCTGTCTGTAAAAATATTTTTATTTAAAAACTCAAAGTGAATCACATCAACAAACCTTAAGACCAAGTTGTGCAGCTTTGATTGATGCTACGTAACCTCCTGGTCCTGAACCAATGACAACAAGATCATATTGTGGTTCTAAAAATGCGAAACAAAAAGAAATCCATCAATTGATAGTGAATTAATGTTCTCACCACTACTTGATGAAGCATTTCGAAGTAGGACAATACGCGAGCAACTAAAACAATGACTTGTAATCTTTAAAAAAAATATGATCGATTGTTTAAAACCAATAAAAGTAAAATCCCTTACTTGTCGCCACGTTACAACTTTCGAGAACATCTACACAATAGCAAGACGTTTAATATTTGTATATTAAAAGTTATCGAAATACCGAAAATAATAGTAACATTTATGGGTGTGCCATTTTCAGTGCTATTAAGAATAACTTCCTCTGTCGTAAATCCAGGGTTCTTTCAATCAAGATGCCGCTAGAGTGCAACTAGAAATAAAGAATTGAAGACGAGTGAAGGAACTACTCGAACTGATATACGTACCGTTGAGATAGATTTTCTACTTTCGAATGTATCTCTACCAAAATGAATCCTTTCGATGAAAATATCATATAGTTCTGTTCAGTTTTCAGTACTTGAAATGTACTTGGGAGTTAAAAGTTCAAATAGTAGTTCATTTTTATTTACATATTAATAGTCATTCATTCATTCATTCATAATAATAATGATATTGCAGAATTACTGTGTTCGAAAAAATTATTACCTGTAGAAAACTTGTTAAAATGTTAACAGTGACCTAAAATTTCATGTACTAGAACTGAAAAGCTCCTGTAATCGAAACAAAATGCCTTACTTTACTTTTGCCCTTAGTTTATTCTGTCGTGACATACCGCATTTCGTGTTACACTTCTATCAAAACAAGGCGATTTATAATTTCAATAATCAGTTTTGTCGATCTATGGCACCAACATGTACCAAATCGGAAGTTGCGGCACATGGATCCTAATTTAGTTAGGTCATGATATTTTTCAAAGTAATTGCGACGAGAAATAGACTATATATATATATTTGTATTGAAATAGTCCTCAATAAACTAAAACAGAGCAGTCGCAATTCAATCATTGATATGTCAGTTAAGCAAATATTTTAGCGTTTATGAACGATTTTCTATTTAAATAGATCCTGTAGATGAAAATATCGATAAATTTCCAGATTGAAATCCTTTTTTGCTTCATCGGTAACTATCTGAATAAAGCAACGATTTAAAAGCGAGTTCGACTTTTCACATTAGTGATTTCATCAATGTAGTACTGCCCGCGGTTTCAATTTAGAGACTCTGATAACTCTAAATTCCGACAACCTAAATATATTATGTTGAACAAAGCCTTTACCCATGGACAGTGAATATGTAACATAAACTCGAGATTTTATTATAAATAATTCGAACTTTTCTAGTATTTTAAAGCTACACGAATTTCCTGTGATGAAATCAGTACTGCATTTAAATGCGAATCTTGACTTTTGTAAAACAAATCGATTGACTGTTTGAAAGATAAGATTCTAAGTCTGCTATTTAGTATTATTTGTGTTCACATTTATTTAAAAAACAAACATAATCGGAGCTTTGGGAATTGTTCATTAAGATTTGCATTGAGAAAATGATTCAATAACTTTCACGCAGGAACAACGCTTCGATCTTCATGAAATATTTCTTATTGTTATTATAATTTAGAGAGTCTATGCCAGTTACCTTGACTGTAGAATTACTAGTTGATATGAAAAATTTCTAATAGAAGATATTTCCCGTTATAGATGGATACTATGACGATAGAAACATTACAAACATCACATGTTTTAGTCCTCTTTTATGGACACAAGATGCTATTGACAATAGGCAAGCTCGACTTTATGTTTGCATTATTCCTGTATTTATCCATGCATCAACTAATTTTTTGTTCATCACTTCGACAAAAATCATTACAATGGATCTATGCGTATATTATTACCGATCATCTTCTTCTTGCTCGTTTTTTCCTTCTCTATACTGTTCATGCACAATCTACTAACTGCCAACCAAGTCGAGCATGGGTATTGTTTATTTGCTATTTTCAAGTAATCATTGATAATTATTTCAATATATCAGAAGTATATATTCTATTAGCTTTAAATCTATTCCGTTATGCACAAATAGTACAAAATCAAAATGTTTATGAAGCTCCTACAAGTCTAATGATCGCAAGTCGTTTGAGTTTGTATTTAATTCCATTAGTTGCTGTAGTGATTCCACTCATTACTGGTTGGAATTGCATTAAAGAGTCTATTAGAGGTAGTTGTTCAATATTGTGTACAAATATCTACATTGAAATATTTAATTTAATTTTTGCATTTGCATCACCTATTTTGCTCAATATCTGGGTGATTTGTGCTTGTGCTCATCATATTCAGTTGAAATCGCCATTACATAAAACATAAAATTTTACGGCAGCCGGTGACAAATATGATCGTTCATTAATTATTCAATTTCTTATTTTTTACATGGCTTGAGTGTTACTTTGGTCGCCATATATTATTTTTTATCAGATTTCGCTTGAACAAAAAAATATGAGCGATGCTGCTCGATTACTTAATTTTATTCAAGTAGCATTAGATGTTCGTTTTTGGCGTACATGGAAAAAGTTTGGAGCGCGCGTAAAGAGAATTATATTCTTCCATAGATCGAATGGGAGTCGCGTTGGACCATCACAAATGGATTTTAATACAGGATCAGTTAAAACCCCTAGGCACAAAACAACCAATTTTTAGACAAAAACAAATTTATGAAAGTTCGTTTCAGTCTTTACTTAGTTATCGGCTCTTAAATAGAAAATAATAATTTTTTCAATAGAATTTCAAGTACTATAGATTTATGCATCTCGTTTCGTGTACTCAAAAAGTGAGTACACTCTAGATTCGGTCAGTGTGTCCGGCCGTTAACACGATAACTCTTGAAAGCCTCATTCAATTGCCATGAAATTTTGTACACAGAATGATCTCATCAATATCTCAGTCGAGTTCGAAGCGGGGGCGCCGGTACAGGGATTTTTCAAAAATAATTTTCTCAGAATTATTCAAAACATATAAATCGACTCAGTTTTTGCAGTACACATAACAATCGGATGCGAATCCGATGTTTCCTCATTTGTTTCCTTCCTATGCCACTGTTCTTAGCTTAAATAAAGAATTTAAAATTTATCTTTTATTGCTTGACTTGAATCTAGGTGAACCCGTCCTATTTAAAATCAATTAATGGGTCATTTTCATAATCGAATTCAGAACAAATCCCCACGGCCTTTATCTTTGACAAAATTTCATATCCGGGCTAGACATTAATGAATGCAAATGCAATACAATTAATCAGACAAAGTAAATGCTGATTTTCGGATGCGTTCATCGATCAGCAAAATATTATCATATCAATTGGCCTTCTCTACAAGCTATGTCGATGCAGACTTGCAAACATTTTCTTCAATATTTTTCTATAGTATAAATAAATAAACTTTCAGACGAAGACGTTTGTATGCTTAAACGAAAGTTGATTTCACATAATTTGTTCGCCTCTTAATTATAGAGGAGAATGAAATAATTTAAAATAACAAATACATATTCAATAGTTCTACTGGTTAATATATTAGTAGAGTAGTGACGTTTTTAAGGCTCTAGAATTTCGCCAATTAGCAAAACTTCAAAAATATAACTATATATTTTATAAGGACTACGCTAAAAATTCGCCAACTCTCATTCATGTTTAACTTACTTTCAGATTGATAAAATTTTTCAGTGCTATTTTTTTCAAACTGTATTCTCCATTCAAACAATAACCGAGTTAACATTTTATTAATATCAAAATAGTCACTTACATCATAGTCTCGTAGGTTAAATATCGAACTATTTCAATACGTGCGAAAGTATTTCATCGGTTTCAACATATGACATCAGAATATTGAGATCGATTCTGGTTTATTTTGGTGGTCATCTAATGAAATAGTAAGAGCAGCTAAACTATCGCAGTACTTTATTAATTGTTTTGATCAACGGATATGATGTGTCGCGTTGGCAAATAACATCAGCTGACATAATTTAAGCAAAACAAAAAGAAACAGCTATGCAAGATAAACAATTTGTTTTCTTCTATTCATTAGAAAAATTCCATTGCTAAAGAATCATATTTCTAGCCCCTGCATTGGTATGTTTGTGATGAATACAAGGAAGCAAATTGTTTATCTTAGGTTGCTGTTTGTTTTTACATGTCTCATAAAAGTATTTTTTTGTTTTGCTTTACTTGTGGTGAATAGTATTCTTTACGCGAGTGAAACATCATACATATTGATCAATAAAATACTAACGTACTGTAGTTACATTCATTATTTTAGAATCATTCACCAAATGGCATACAGATCTATTGGGTCCAGTGCAATGTTTAGATGATACGATTCAGTTTTAGTTAAACTCAGGCTAGAGTTGCTTGCACTTAGTTATTTAAGAAATTATACAAATCCCAATATTGAATTATTTAGTTCGGTCCTTGGATTTTTGTCTATTATTTTACTCTGATAATTTATACTGCGATTCATCATGATCAGCAAGCTTAACGTTACCAAATCAAAAAAGCAAAGATATAATTATGTATTCCTACAAACTTTTTCTGTTATTTCAAAGACTAGAAACGCCTATTTCTAACAAAGCACAGGAAAATTTTAAACATGATTATGCAGGATTTTTCATTCAGACAATGATATCAAACGAATATTTATTTTCTCGATCATTGATTAAAAACAATCAAATAAGTGTATATGACGGTGTGCGGGGTTCGTCTGCAACTTTCAATGCTGTATTCATTTATCACAGTTACCGATTTGCACAGGAAACAGATATTATTATCTTGAATATTTAAAATCGAAAAAATGCATCTTTGGAACATCGGAAACTCAATAAACTCTAACAGTTTTTAACCGTAGACACCTCGTTCTGTACAATTAAATATAAGCTTAGCCGAAATTGGCTGCGTTTTCTGGTAGGAGAGTTAATATCGATTTGATTAAAGATGGTACATCACATTTGAACTCATATGAAAAAAATCGAGGTACACTCCAAAACAGTAAATATCATTGTTTATCAAGTTTTTCCTTTTAAAGAGAAGAATCTAATTGATACATTTCGGCTACTTTGATTTTATTGAAATAACATTCGATTCAATAGTTATTGCAGCACTCAGCGTTGTTCTACGGCATGTATGTATGGCGGAACGGGTGGGTCTATGACGTAGGAAAAAAGCGTACAACTAAACAGAGGTAAACAGAACAGATTTTGATCGTTAGTTTTGTTCTCAATTAAAATTACACAAATCTACAAATATTCTCTATTTATATAAAAATATCGTTTTTTTTTATGAATTGAATTAAATATGGCCACATACAATATCTCGTCCGATACCTTCTAAAACCATTTGAACAAATTGATTGAAATCGATTTCTTGTTGGCCATTTTTCGATACTTTATGAATGAAATTTAAAATAGCATCTTTGCTCATATTTGGATGTATAACTGAAATAAAAGCTGATAATTCATATAAATCAATTGTATTCGACGAATCCGTATCGAGTAAAAGAAATGCTTCGCGAATTTCATTAGCCGCGTAGGTACCCATCAGGAATGGCCGAATAATTTTAACAAACGCATCAAACGGTAATACATCGCGTTGATATTTCATTTGATTTGCAATACGTTCATATTCGTCGCGCTTAAATGATGCTGTATATTTTTTTTCAAGTTTTTCTTGTCTAACCTGCATGTTCTCTTCGATCTGTTCGGATTTTGTTTCTTCATATTCATAATCAATTTGTAGTATTCTTCCATATCGACGGTATACTGTTTCATAAATCGTATAATGTATTTGTGTCATGTTGTCGATGAATTTTGTCTCGGACTCTTCTTATCAAAATATCGATTTGTCAGCTGTAAAAGAGAAGAAAAAAGAAAGAAAAGAGTAAATTATACTGATTTTTTTGTTTAGTTTATAGTCAAATGAAAGACAGTATACGAGCTCTGACAAGTACAAGGCTATCGAATTTCTCTTCGCGGGTGAATAAGAAAAGACCGAAGAGAGAAAATGCCAAAACAGTTGCAAAACGGAGAGTGACAAGATTCTGAGTAAAAATCAAACAAAAAAAATTCAATTATGATTTTTATTATTTCATGTCTTCGGATAATTAACATCGATATTTACTTCTTATGATAATAGAAGAACTCGTAACTAATGTAACAATAACATTTACTAAAATAGTGACTGTAAGGTGATGTGTATTCTTTATTTTATTTTTAGTTTTGTTTATGAAAATATCTCGACTCTATTACGCGCTAATTTTCATTTGTGTTGACGGTCATATTGGCAAATGATTTTCGTAGGCAAAGAAAAGATCGGAATTCGATTAAACAAGTTTTTTTTTGTTACAGATCAATTTCTTGGTTACGCCATTAAATAGTTACGGGTTATCTTGATCGCCATAGATTTTGTGACGAAGTATTTCGTAATCAATTAACTTCGATGAATGAAAAAAGAAATCCTCGCTTATCTGGAAGAACTAAGAAATATTCGGTCTTGTATACCTATCAATTTTAATACGAGAAGAAACGTCTCTCTTTCTCGTGTGTTGTCCAATTTCAGCCCTTAAAAAAGAAGCCATGTGTAAACAAGATCAAAGAAATGTTCACTAAGATCAGCAAACGTATTCCTATTAAGTTGATAAACGCACAAAAAGTATTTAACATTTGCATACCTAGAAATTTGTCAGGTGTATATATGTTGCATTAATAATTTTATGGTTCATACAAAGAAATTTTAGTTGTTTGCTTTGAATTATTCGGCGCCAGTATAGCGAATGACAAATTACTTTTCCATGTTAAGCCGCAACAAAAGAAAATAGAGAAACGATCTTTCGGCTTTTTCGATGTTTATTTGTCTTGGGATTCAACATAATTCATATACAATAAGCAAAAATACAATCATATTATGTCATTCCATTTTGCTCAGCCATTTTCCGGTAGCAAATAGAAACAAAGAAATTTTCATGTTACGCATTCCCTGTGGTAGAATATTAACTGTCGGTGTTCCTGGTAGAAAAACAAATGTTTCCATGTGGTGAAAATCGCATTGGTTTCAAATAAAACTAGAATGAACTTGCAAATTTGACTTAGGAAATGACCTTTCTAGTAACGAACTTTGATCGCTAATTTCATTGACCTGATTGCGCATTATCGAATAATTATAGAAATAGTCCTATATTATTAAAGGGATTAATTTGAAATTTCCATGTTCGATATTAATGCCAGTTCTCTTATGTTAATATGATATTGAAGAATTGAACTGAGCAATTATATTCATTATCCTCAAAAGTTGGTTTTAATACTATAGGCAATGACATCTATGCTTTGAGATTGGAGTTATTTTTTTTGTGTTGTATGAGCTCTTCAATATGTTGCGGATGTTTATTTTTTTTTTAACAAAACATTGCATCGATGTTCAAGTAAGTTTTTCTAACGCCGCGATTTCAAACATCCATTTCAGAATATAAATGGATTTTCTTTTAATTGGTTTTTTTTTCATGGCGTCCTCGTGTCACGGTACAGACTTGCACGTCATATTGGCTGCTTCCTAATATGTTTATTTAGAGAAAAATAAACGCTAAAATATTCATCATCATCATCATCATCATCATCGTCATTTCACGCTAACAGTAGAAACTGAAATTACATAAAGTAGCGCATTTCTATTACCCGCTCTGACAAGCGTTCAAAAAAAAGGTGTTTCTACGCGTAAAAAGCGCACGTTTCTTGTTTAGAATCAAATGACTTTCTGAATGTTGCCATTTGCAAGCTCCCTTTATTTTCCAAAAAATACTCAAATTTCATGAAGCGTTCATGTGTGGGCTTTTTACGCGTAAGAACACCGTTTTCTTTCAACGCTTATCTCACTGGGCTATAGATACAATCGAGAAGAATCATCCATCATTAAACCACGATTTTCAATAAAAACCGATGGAATTACCGGAAGAAAAATAACAGTGATTTATCACGTTCTGGCTGACGATAATCGCTCCTATTGATCACGATTAATCGACATTTTTTTTCTTTAATATAGGAAAGTCATGAGTTGATTCTCGAAAGTCATTTTCTCATGTCATAAGCATGCTTTCTCAATAGATAATGACAGTAGCAAATAAGAAAAGTATTTCGTTTTTTTCTACCAAAAATAAGTTTGCCTCTACCGAACAAGATGATAGAAAATAGTTAGACAATAGTATAGTTTTAGATTTTTTTCTTCTATAATTTTAACCCTTTCCGGCCGGCTGTTTGAAAATTGCCGTACCCCCCTAGGGGAAAATGTTGCCACATGGCAACACCGGGCCGGAAAGGGTTAAGTGAGTAAGTCAGAGCTTGATGGTGATTTTAAATAGTTAATAAATTTTCCTACTTGAACCATGCTAAATTTAGAAGCCCACGAATTTTTCATTATGTAATGGGCAATGCCATTAAGAAAAAGAACAGAGTTCAATAATAAAATATACGTATACTCTACGAACTACTCTTAAGGTCGAATTTTTTCAATTTCTAAAGGTTATCGTGTCTGTCACTTAAACACTATCGTGCTCGGCATTTAAAAAAATCTTCCCCTAAATGGTTCATCTATGAAATCTAGAGATAAAAATGTATACGACACAAAACTAGATTGACGATGAGAACTGTGATGGACTGTTGCAGCAGACGATTAGTATTGTATAACCATTAGATTCAAAATCTACATGTAAAATATGACTTCATTAGTTTCCTGCTCTTGTTTATATTAAATTTTATGAAAAAAAATTACTATTCCACTTTCAAAAATAATTATTTAGTAATAATTAGAAGCAAAGCAGGAAATGGCACAGGTAAGTTGCTATCATCTTTGCATTTAAATTAAATAGAAATGAATTCATTTCATGATAATGATAGTTTTTTAGATTGTTATTATCTAGTAAATTGAAATGTACAGCAATGCTGTCTCTAAATGGTAGATACTAATAGAACAAGAACCTCGAGACAGCAGAGTGTCAATCTCTTGATATAAGAACTTTTAACTTCCGTCCTATTCCTATTTCATTTTTAATTACAACCATTCGAGATATAATTTATATATTTTGAATTGTAATGAGTAATTGATCTCATTAGGATGCGTATACATTACATTATTTCTTGTATTGATCACAATCGTTCAGTCATGCTCACATCGTGACTTGTTTTTTATTAAATTTTCTTATTATCCTGTTTGAACAAAGACGTTAACAAAATATGAAACGAACTTAAAGTAACTTATTTTAATTAAGTATTTTGAATCGTTCGTCTTAATAGAAAAATGTCTTACGGGTTTTTAAAGTTAGTGGTTCAATTGTTCTTTTAGAAAGCAGGATGTATGGTTAATCAACGCATGATAGACTTTAAAGGTTGACTCAAATTATGTTATAACCTTTTTTAATTTCTATTCAGACCTACGGTAAATATCAAGGTAATGTTACACTTATTAGCAACATTGTTTATTAATATTACTACTCGATAATCTCGAAACTGTCTATTTAACAATGTTTAGGCGTTTCATACGGTTGCTTTTACTAGAGACCATTGTTCAATTAGTTCAAATTCTTAATATTTTGTTCTAGTCAATATCTGTTTGAATAGAATTGAGTTTCTTTCCCATAGGATTTGCATTTTTCCATTATTAATTTTTTTATGGTTACAGTAATAATAATAAATAAGAAAATAAATCATTTTACATAGATTTTTTTCTTGTCTTAATTTAATGCGATATTATCAATCATTTTGTTACTTCGAGTACTTGCTAAAAATGCTATTAAATATCGATACCGATCTTAATTGCCTTTCATTTCTATTTATATAACCTTTTTCTTTTGAAAATATCGACTGCCATTCTTGGCATGCAAACCGGATATCGTAAAAACGGTTACTTTGGCATGCGGGATAATCTTTTTCCTCCTACAGTATTCTGATTAATATAATCAATGAGAATATAAAATTATATTCCCTGCTCCGTTTTCTTTCGTCTTTACTTGTATTCATTAGCGCCTTCGCGTCTAGATTCCTCCTGGTGTCAAAATCGATTCACTTTTACTGTTCTGTCTCGGCAAATAGAAAAAGACAGCATCTTTAAAAGAATGAATTAATGCTGGAAATTTCTTTTCTTTACTTCAATAAAAAGAAAAACAAACCAACATGATCTCTACGTTTCGTTTCATTTCACGTACTTTATAAAAGATATCTTCTAGATAAAACAACAACAATCATGGGTTGTATCCTCGGACTAGTAAGTGTTTAATATATTTCGCATCGAAATCCTTAGAGCGCAAAATTATATTCTTAGCTTGGCTGTTGTTTTGGTTCAGCAACTTGTAATATTTGTTGTGCTTGTTGTCCATCGGCACATCATTCTTTTACATCGCGTTTAGCGTATGGAAGTCTTTTATTTTTTGGTACGATTGTTTCATGGGCATTCTCGACGCCGTATCTCGCCGAACAGTTGTCGAAGGTAGAAGCAAATTTATCTGTGTTTAAATAATGGAATTTTGTTCTTTTATTATCGCGTTAGATTCCAGCTTTATGCCACGGTGAAACGTTAGCTGATATAGAAATCTTCCCAGGACAAATACCATGTGGCAAGATTGTTGGCTATTCAAGTATTTATCGGATTCAATTTTCTTTAGCATGTTTTTTCTTTACAATGATGTTAATCATGTTGTGCGTCAAACGATCAGAAGATCCGCGAAGCGCAATACAGACTGGGTAAAATGAATATTCATCGGGGGGGGCTTTTTAGTAATTGATGAATTTGTTATTTGGTTAGATTTTGGTTTTTTAAAATTCTAATTATTATCGGTATTAGTGTTGGAACGTTTTTTATACCCAATGAAGAATTGATACCAGGTAAATTGTGGAGAAATTTAAAGAAAAATAAGTTGCCAAGATAAAAAATTTCATTCTTGCAGCTTTAATGATTATTGGATGTTTATGTGGTTTCGTTTTTATATTAATTCAGCTTATGCTCATGGTTCATTTCGTAGAAAAGTATAGTTTTTAACTTGAACCAACGATAAACAAACGAATTTTTTTACTTTTAGTTGGAATAAAAGTTGGATTGGCAAAGGTGAAGACGGAAGTAGAAAACATTATTGTGGCCTTGTATTCTTTACAGCATTCTGTTATTCTCTTGCAATCGCTTCGATTATACTTCTTTATATCTTTTATGCGTCGGAATCATCATGCAGTCTTAATATAATTTTTATCACAATTAATTTTCTGTTGTGCCTGATTGTATCAGTTATATCTGTTCTGCCGACAGTACAGAATTATCACCCAACATCAGGTTTATTGCAATCATCATTTGTTACACTTTATACCATATTTTTAACATGGTCAGCAATCGCAAGTACAAAGCCTGGTACTCTTCTCATAAAGAATTCGAATATGAAAAACAGCGTTTTCTTTCTAAATAATAATCTATTTAGATCCAATATGTAATTCATCATGGCATGGAACAATTAAGAATAGCAACTCAACTGTTATAAATTCAACAGGAAATGGTTCCGTTAGTGTGACATCATTTATAGCATTGATTATATGCTTTGGCCTTCTTATTTACTCTGCGTGAGATTCTTGTTTTGAATAAATTCAAGGAAATTTTTTGAATTGTTTTCAGAATGATAAATTCGGCGAAATTATCAAATGAAAAATTACTCGGCATACCAAGTAGTGACGAAACTGAAAATGCTGCTACTAAAATTGGTTAGAAAAGAATGCTTTGTTTTTTTCTTATCGTCCGATTTATGATTTATTAGATGGCCGTAAACGTTATGCTGATGAAGAACAATCAGTTGTCTATAACTATTCGCTATTTCATCTGATGCTGGTTTTTGCTTCGTTCTATATTATGATGACACTAACAAAGTAAACATCATATTTGTTCACTATTTGATTTATTTTTTTCTTCTGATCTACTAGTTGGCTTAAACCAATGAGCGATTTTACTAGTTTTCAACAAAGTGATTCCGTTGTTTGGATAAAAATAGTTGCATCATGGACATGCATTGGCCTTTATTCATGGGTTATGATTGCACCATGTATATTTCGGCATAGAGATTTTTCATAAACTGACTTCTATCGTTTATGTATATAAATATTTAGACAGAATATTAAATCATATCGTATAGTTTATTTAAAAAAATTCCATGTTATCTATATATATATAAATATATATGTATGTCTGAATTCTCTGTTCCTTTTTTTTGTATTTTTATTTGTTTTAACTAATGAAATAAATAGCGAAGCACAATAAGAAAGAAGACAAGAATAATCATTCAGTATGTTTACGAGGTAAATCATCATCACTTCCATCATCATCCGATGATGAGAAAAATATTTCTGCACCTGCGAATAAATATCGACGAGGCGGATAAGATATATAAGATGAATTCTGATTAAATAAAGGAGAATTTTTCAATGAGGAAAATGGACGTTTACGCGATGATGATGAAGATGACGATGATGATGATTGGATCATCGGTGGCTTAAATATCCGAGGTCGAAGAGACGATAAACGTTCTTTTGGTACTGATGTATCATTTGTGGTATGATAGGAAACTTTCTGTTTTTTTCTCTTTTGCTGTTGCATTGATATGCGGATTTTATCGTAGAGAATTTCATTCATTAATTGCTCATTTCTATGATTCAATCGTTTAATGTCACCAAATGAGGGTTCATATTTAGCTAAACGAAGACATAATTCATTTATAATAACATCACAATTTCCTAATAATTCAATATCAAATGATTTATGGGGCAAACGTTCACGATTAACTAATATTTGTGGTATATGTGCAGGTAAAAGTTCTGATACAAGTGACACTGGTTTAACCTAAAATTTCAAAAAACCAAAATACCAATGCGAACAAAAATTTCTTTCAATTACTTTTAAACTTGAGCCCATAACAATTAATAAATCACATTTATCTTTATCTACTGATATTGTTTTATGAAAATCTTCCGGTAATGGTTCACCAAAAAAGACAATATCTGGTTTAAGTATTGCATTCTGGACTGTTTTTGAACATTTTGTACAATGTGGCATTATTTGTTGTAAGATTTCATGTTTTATTTCATCACTACTCACACGATTTTGACAACGACGACATGTTGATGTTGAAAATGAACCATGGCACTGTATGAGACGTTTTATTGGACATAGATGTTCGAGTGAATCGATATTTTGAGTGTAATTACGGAGCAATTGATCACGTCGTTCTAATTCAGCGATAAAATAATGAGCTAACGATGGTTCATGTTGGCCAGGCCAAATTTCTTTAGCAAAACGGAAAAATGGTCGAGGATCATGGGTAAAATATTCAATATCAAACATAGATTGAGGATTTGGTAATTCAGGAAATTCTTCACGTAAACGAGCATAGATACCGTTACGTGAACGAAAATCAGGAACTAGGAAAATAGAAAATATTATTCATGAGAGTTACATCAACTTGAGTAACTTACTTCCGCAACTAACAGAAATTCCAGCTCCAGTAAGAACAAGAATCTTTTTTGACTTTCGTATTAACTCTACGGCATCATCAAGTGTTTGGTATTGTTCAAGTGGTTGACGCTGTTGCACAGGTAGAAAAATGTCCATAAGAAGTTGAAAAAGTGAAGATTGCGATACATCATTTGGTAAACCGGGTAAGATGCGTGATAATAACGGACGTAAATCAACACCAGCACGCATTTGTTCGTCAAGCCAATGAAATGTTATATTCATTGGCACAGTTTCATCCTCGCTATCAGAATCACCATCGGGGTTATGTGATGAATTACTTTTATTATTATTATTATTAGTAGTAGTAGTAGTAGTCGTATTGGTTGTTGAGCTATGTGTTACATTTAAAGATGGGGGGTCAGGGATTTCAATGCTTTTATTTGATGCTTCATCGTGTAGAATAGGAGATGATGAAACAAAATCGATTACTGAACTTGAAGACATTAATCTCTTTAAACTAATGCTAGAGAATGAATGACCTTTCTTGTCAACAAGTACAAGAGAATCAATCAATAAATTGTACTCATGTTAAATGAAATTTATGTTCAACAAATGTTTTGTTTAATTTCAAAAGAGAAAATAAATCAAAATTAAGAGAAAATAATCTTTGAAAAAGTGAACTTAATTGAATATTGAATGTTTTCATAGTTAATATTAACGACCTCTATTCAAAATGAAGAGAGGTTGTTGCTAGTTCTTAGCGAATCAGATGAGCAGCCATAATGGTAAAGATAGAGACAGAAACAAGTTTTCTTTATTTGTATTTTAAATTAATCAGAAAAAAAATCCAGTTGTATCTCGGCTGTGGATGTGGACATAAGGAAGAAAACAATTAAATTCATGTTCACGTTCAAATTCTTTGTTGATTACTTTGCGCAATTTACTTATGAATAAATCTCTAATGCATTTGTAACTGTGTACATAGTTTTTGATTGTTTTAAAAAATGAGAAAAACTAAAAGTGTTGTACAAATTTTGGCAGAAAATTAGTATCAATCAACTAGAGGCCTTACAAAAACTATTAGAATCGCAATAATAATTATTAAATTGTGATAAATAGATTGTATATGTATGCATTGTGGAGTATTCTACACGAAGAACAGTTTTTTTTTGTTTCATTTTTCATTTTGCAATGATCTTAGATAGTTTAAGAAAACTCGTTGTCATTCAGCCAAAGTTTGGTTTCTACTCTTATCATTGCAAAGAATGACAATGCAGGTATTGTTTCGGATAGCATTATTTAAAAGACAAAGTAAATTTCGCTTTCAAATATTTGTGTGAATTAAAATATAATTCGAATATGAGAAAAAGATAAATTGATTATACAAGTATATAGTATGAATTATCAAAGTGTAAACGGCTGATTGAATTAGATTATGGCTGACTTCTCATACATTACAATCTTTTGTTAAATTATGAAATCCTTTGTGCTTTCAATAGAATTTTCTCTCAAGATACGGAACACAATTGAGTAATATCTTTTGTTGAATAGAACATTTCTTCTTGTTCACTCGAAGAGATAGCTATACGGTCTTTTTGTTGTTCCTCTAACGCACACTGTTAGAACTTTTACACACGAACTCGTAGACACAAATTGCCAAAAACAGAAGAAACTGATGTCTGAAAATAAAGGATTTAACAATATTTGTATTAAACAACCAAACCTGCCAAATCTTGCTCATAACACTATCTCGAATTAGAACGAAGTCTATGCGCCTACTAAAATAAAACTGGATTCCGATGGGTGTAGTGGCATATCAGCGCTGATAAATGAGTAATTATGCCATATATTTTTCTCCATGGCTTTTAACAGCTTATTGACGTGATTGAATGAATCACATTTAAGTAAATATTTCATGTATCTTTTACATGATATTGCGTAAAAACCCTAATAGAGATTATTATAATAACATACAAAATATATGACTATTTTTCCTGCAAGGTCAATGTGTTTCTTATCAGTTTTACTCTTTCGATGATTCGTTGCATCTCAAGTCTAAAGGCACAGCTTTTCTCTCTCTCTCTCTCGTGTTATCATTACTAATACACCGATAAGAATAACTCATTTATTGGACATTTTTTCACTTTAACTTTCTGATAGACAGAAGAGACATGCAACAACGACACCTAATCTTTTTCGCTTCATTGTTTACAGCTATTTCTACGACACAAATAAACTATTTTGAAGCTATCGCAAATTTACCAATTGTTCCTGATCCAGTCACTATTTTCGATACTCTAATCATGTGAGTGCTTGACTCCTTATTTTTCTTAGATTTTCCTCTACCGAGGATTTTTAGATTATGGACTAATGTTACGGATTGTCCGCAACCATCATGTGAATGTGTTGTGCAAGCCAACGTCACCACTGATAATGGGACATATACTGTAGAATTTTCGTCTATGACACCGAATATTGGTTCTGTTAGCGTCAGCGATCTTAAACCAGATACATTATATTCATTCACATTAACTTGTACCGGCACTGATGACAATGCTACGCGCCTCATTCGAACAGATTATGGTCGTCCATCAGCACCACAAAATATCACGGTTACACTTGTTTCTGAACGTTTAAGAATATCCTGGTTACCGCCTGCAGTGCCGAATGGACCGATTCATAATTATAAACTTACTAGAGACAGAGAAACTATTTCAGACAAAATACCAAACAGTGAATCATCGTATGACATGACAAAAGACTATGTTTACGGAGAAACAGATACTTTTTTTCTCTCAGCTTGTAATATCAATGGAAAAAATGACACAGTTTGTTCAAGTCCGAATGACGGTGAAGTTAGTTTTTTTTTGCCCGCAGCAACAACAACAAGTTCCCAACAGACAACTACACTCGGAAATGCTTCAAACATTTTATCTTCTTCAAGACTTTTGGCGATTTTGATGTTTTGCTTTTTTCTAGTCAAGTAAATGACATGTAACAATAATTCAGATGTATATTATATTTTTAATATAAACAAATATAAAAAAAAGTGATTCAAAAATGGTGATATTATTTCCTAATGCATTGATTCCATTGCTTATGCTTAATTTTTAATACGAATCATACTAAAATATAAAACATCTGTGAATTGAAAAATGATACAAATCAACAGTCACGAAATTCGTTTTTCTTTTGAGCATCAGTGAGCCTTATTCGGAACATTCAAATCTTGCTACTTCAATTATTTTTCGTGCTTATCGGCATTTTCAGCGCAAGCTACTCCCAACTAAACTTTATGTGTCAGTAAATTTGAAACTCGAAATACCATCATCCAATTTCTTGCACTATCCAACAAACAATAAGCTGAAATTTCATCCAGATGCCTTTAAGCGGGAGCGAATCATCTAAAGGCATTTGTCTTCAGAGATTTTCTTAAGTTACAGTGGCCTCCATTGTGCACAGAGCTCGAACGGGAATCTCATTTGGTAGTGTAAAATACTCCTTGATTATTGTGTTTCAAGTCATTAGAAATGCCTGTGAATTACTGATTCAGATAGATCTAGAGCCAACTAAAAAGTTGACACCAACTTAGCAAAACAGCCTAGTAGTGTTAGTTTTAACAAATAAAACTACTGAAAATTACTCAGTTTCAATGATTGAGAAGCTCGTTGGATACTCTAAAATATTTGTTTTAGGATATCTTATCCAACAATCTAAAAACATTTTGTAATTTTTCCTGCTCATATAATGTAAAAACCTGATAGGAACAGCGTAGAAAGATAAATATACTTTTACTGCGACATCCATTCATATATTGTCAGAATTTTCCAATTGACGGTTTATCGTATTTAATATCTATAGACAAACAATTCTGTCTAGCTATTGTTACCATTATTATTTTACCGATAAAAGTAACTCATTCATTTTATATTTTTTCACATTTACGTTCCGATAGAGAGTAGAAACATGGAACAACGGCTTCTGATAACTTTCCTTTCACTGTTTACAGCGATTTCAGCGACAAAGATCAACTATTTCGGAACTCAGATGTATGAACACTTTCTTCTTCCGCCACTGATGATTTTCGACACTACTATGACATGAGTGATTGACACCTGGTTTTTCTCAGATTCTTGCCACCTGTGTATTTATAGGCTATGGACTAATGTTACAGATTGTCCGTCATCATCATGCGAATGTTCTGTTCAAGCCAACAGGACAGGCTTCAATTATCCCTTTCCGGCCCGCTGTTTGGAAATTGCCGTACCCCCCCTAGGGGAAAATGTTGCCATATGGCAACACCGGGCCGGAAAGGGTTATACAGATTGTGCAGTGTTTTCCTCTGATACCACAAGTATTGGTTTTGCGCTTATCAAGGATCTTGAGCCAGATACAATGTATTCATTCACATTATTTTGTGGTGGAACTGATGAGACTATCACACGTCACATCCGAACAGTTTATGGTCGTCCCTCACCACCGCGAAATATCACAGCTACCCTTGTTTCTGAGCGTTTAAGAATATCCTGGTTACCGCATTCAGTGCCGAATGAACCGATTCATAATTATAAACTTGCCAACGGTTCAAAAATTATTTCAGACGAAATAGGAAATAGCCAACTCTCATATAGCTGGATAAATGATCACATTTGTGGAAAAAAATTAATCTTTTTCTCTCAGCTTGTAATATCAATATCCTTTTGAAGTCAGCATGTTCAAATCAGAATGATAGTAAAGTCAGTTTTTTTCTACCAGCATTAACAACAACTTCGCAACAGACAACTACACGCCCAAACACTTCAAGCATTTGATGTTCTTCGGGACTTTTGATGATTTTTAAGTTTTTATTTGTTCATTGCAGTAAAGGACGAAATTTAATGATTATTCATATTTGATTATCATTTCTTACTGTAAAATAAAATAAAAAGTGATTCAAAGGTGGTGGTAGCAGTTCGTAATTCATTGATATTATTACGAAAGGAGATTGCAATGATTGGATGGCTTATCCTTGATTTTGAACACAAATCAAGAAACATGAAATCCATTGTTCCTTTGAGCACCAAAGAATCTTAATGAGAACGTTTTCATCTTGACACTTCAACGAACTGTAGATTATTGCATCGAAATTAGAATGGTTTTAAGGAAGCTTTCCAGATACCGGCGAGTACACATCTTTAGTACATATAGATGTCTTTTAATCTTTGAAAACTAGAATGTTTTCTTTGAACGATGAATTGTGAAGGAAAATTCGTTTTGGGAATTGTCAAAATTTGTCATTAATGAGTTCGTTTCGAACGTGTTCATGCACTTTAATCAAAAATTAATTGTGTAGCTTTGCAGAAACGTATGTTCGTAGTGTAATGTTTTCATCTGGGCCATGTGTGTTACATTTCGTTTCTCTAAAAAGTGGTGTTCATCAAGGCAACGTTTTATCTTTGTCTCATTGAAGAGGCCAAGGGGTTCCCAATCAGTGTTTCATGGTGTGGGTCTGTCTAGTTGGCTGAAGGAAAACACGTAAGCGCGTCACCTGTAAATAATATGGAAATCAATTGAGATGGACGAGCTTGCCACAGTACAACAGCTGTTCAAAAGTGCTACAACATCAATTCTCTTGTTTATTCTTTTCATTTGATTCTCAATCGTTGTCTTTTCTTGTACTTCCAATAGATCTATTGATTTCAGCTAAAACAAACTGTATATACTGGAGAAATGTTTTGAATTGCAGATAGCTTTTCTCCTGTTCTACACTGAAACAAAAAGATAGCACCGCATAGAACCAAAAAAATTTTCGTCCTCAGTGTGAAACTCGTCGAGGGTTTCGAATTCGTTTCAAAAATGGCTACGTGTGGTGCTATTTTTTTTCCAGTATACCGTTGTGTACAATTTCAATTCTTATACGAAATTAAGACGCAAGGAAAATGTGGTTCTAGATCTTTTATTTCAGACATATTCGTATTTCAGAGAAATCCACTCGCAACTAAATGCGTGTTTGAGTATACGTGAAACTTCAACTACCATCATCCCATTCTGTTACTATCCAAAATGTAATAAGCTCAAGATTCAATGAGATGTCTGCAAACATGAGCAGATGAGCTGAAAGCATTTATGTTTAATGATTTTCTTTACTTATAGTGGTCTACATTATGAGCAGAGTTCGAACGGAAAATTCATTTACTAGTTGAACACAATCTTTGGTTATTGTGATTGTCACCGATAGGCAATATCTGTTAGAAAGTTAAAACAATCGACTGACATAAATCTAGAGGGGATGAAGTAAATGACACCAACATAGTAAAATAGTCTACCAGGGTTTGTTTTAACGAATAAAAGTACTGAAAATTGAATTGATTTTTATGTTTGGAAAGCTCGTTGGATACTCTAGAAAACTCATTCTAGTATGTTTTCTGGAGCGGATCATGTCTTTTATTGAATCATTCTACACTAAATATGTCGTGTAATTTTTACTACTCAAATAATGTAAAAAGCTGAGAAAGACAGATTAGAAACATAATTGTGTTGTTTCCGTGACACACATGCATATGTTGCCATCATTTCTCATTTCAGGATTTATAGGATTTAGTATCTATAGACAAATCTTTTATCTCGCTTTGTTTTTAACAATGCTAGCACACCGATAAGAATAACTCATTCGTTCGGCATTTTTTCACTTTTACTTCTGATCCACCTAAGTAGCATGCAACAACGACAAATAATTATCATCGTTTCATTTTTTACAGTTATTTCTGGGACGAAAATCAACTATTTTGAAGGTCGGATAGATGAGATATTTCTTCCTGATCTAGTCACTATTTTCGATACTCTAATCATGTAAGTGCTTGACTCCTTATTTTTCTTAGATTTTCCTCTACCGAGGATTTTTAGATTATGGACTAATGTTACGGATTGTCCGCCACCATCATGTGAATGTGTTGTGCAAGCCAACGTCACCACTGATAATGGGACATATACTGTAGAATTTTCGTCTATGACACCGAATATTGGTTCTGTTAGCGTCAGCGATCTTAAACCAGATACATTATATTCATTCACATTAACTTGTACCGGAACTGATGACAATGCTGCACGCCTCATTCGAACAGATTATGGTCGTCCATCAGCACCACAAAATATCACGGTTACACTTGTTTCTGAACGTTTAAGAATATCCTGGTTACCACCTGCAGTGCCAAATGGACCGATTCATAATTATAAACTTATTAGAGACAGAGAAACTATTTCAAGCAAAATACCAAACAGTGAATCATCGTATGATATGACAAAATATTATGTTGACAGAGAAACAGATACTTTTTTTCTCTCAGCTTGTAATATCAATGAAAAACATGACACAGTTTGTTCGAGTTTGACTGACGGTAAAGTTAGTTTTTTTTTGCCCGCAGCAACAACAACAAGTTCCCAACAGACAACTACACTCGAAAACGCGTCAAATATTTTTTTCTCTTCAATGGTTTTGACCATATTGATTTTTTGCTTTTTTTCTATTCATGTAAATCGCATGTAACGAAAATTCAGATCGGTATGGTTATTTCTTACTGCAAAATAAATAAAAAGAATGATAACAGCTGCTGAAAAGTACTACAACTTTAGTTGTGTTATCATAAATTGCATGTCTTTCTCTTATTTATTCTTTTCATTCAAGTTTCAATGTTGGTCTTTTTCAGACTTATTGGCATGTTCATAAAATTTGACCCAGTTGTATGGTTTATACCAAGGGAATCGGATTATGGAATTGCCAGAGGAGTCTACTTTGAAAAATATCTGTGTTTGAGAATAAATTTTAATTCAAAATGCCTTCGTTCAATTTTCTCTGTATGTACTACAAGCCGTACCATAAGCTATAATGGAATCAAAATCTCTTTTAATCCGAAGAGAAGAGCAAAAGACATTTATCGGTTACGAATTCTAATACTCTAAAGTGATCTAAATGATAACCAGAGTTCCAAGAAAGAAGGTATCTGTTAGGTAAAACTGCTTCACAGTTAATATGATTCTAGTCGGCAGAGATATCTGCTAGAAAGTTAAAAAAATCGATTCAGGTGAATCTGGAGCCAATAACTTATATCACACTAACTTACAAACATAGTTCAGTCTTAGTTTCATTTTGTTTTTGATGAGAAAAAGTACTGAAAAGTGATGTATTTTTATTTTTTGAAAAGCTCGCTGAACAAGATGCAAAACTAAATATGCAAAATCTTGCAGAAGGATTTATATTTTTAATGAATCATTCTAAATTAAATATCTCTTTTAATTTTTACTGCTCAAATCATGTAAAAACTGATAAAGATAGGTTAGAAACATAATTATGCTGCTGCCGCTACATAATCATATGTTGTCAATATTTGTCTTTCAGTGATTTATCAAATTCTAAATGCCCTATAACAACATAAACATATGCGCTAACTTTATAACAGTTTTAATCAGGAATTTCAACTCATAGCGATATATGTGTGAGTCACGATTCTTCAGAATGCTATTGGTTGAAAATTGAATTTTTCAATTTTCCGTTGAATTCAAGTTTCAAGTTTGACATATATGAAACGTTTAAAAATATCCTGGTTTTCGCCTTCAGTGCCGAAGGGACCAATTAATAATTAGAAATTTACTGAGAGCATAGAACATCCTATAGAGCATCGGCCAAACGATCAATTCTCATATGATGTGACGAGAGATTAGGTTTACGGTGAAACAGATCTTTTTCAACTTTCCGCTTGTAATATAAATAGAGGACACACATCGATTTGTTCGCAAATAGGTAGTGCTATGATGAGGTTTTTTCAGTCAGCATCAACAGCATCTTCGCAGTAAACAATATCTTCTCAACAAACATCTTCGCTGCAAGCAACTACACCCAAAAACGCTTCTGGCATTATCTTCTCCAACGCTGTTTGCAACTTTGATAATTTTCGTTTTTCTATTCAAGTAAATAACATTTGGCAATAATTCAGATTTATATTTAGTTTTTAATATAAGATAAAGAAAAATAGACTCGAGGGTGGCCGTATCAATTCGTTATTTTTTGGTATTATTACCAAAGAAGGTTTCATTGATTGAATTTATTGTGCTTGATTTTTAAAGCAAATCATACAGAAATATGGAACTTCTATAAGTAAAGAATTCAGACTAACTAGCAGCGAACACATATGTTAGTTTTTTTCAGGATAAGTAAACCTGAATCAGAACGCTTGAACCTTGATAGATCAACAAATCGTAGGCTCTTGAATCAAAGCTATAACGGTTCAATTGAGTTTCAAGGATACCGGCGGGTACATCTCAGAAGTATATATGAATGTTTTTTAATGTTGGGAGAACTAAATGTTTTCAATCTGAACCATGTGTATCGCATTTCGTTCCTTCGACCATATTCTTTGACCTTTGAATCGATGTCTAAGGAAGGGGTGCGCATGTCTGCTGTCTAAAGGGAAAACATATAAGTTCATCGTCTCTATCCATACTTCAAAGTCTGTAAATAAATTTGCTCTAGTCATCCATCAGTATCACCGTTACTCTTATTTCTATGCACTTAAGGTCAACTTGGTTATCTCTTTCAATCACAGGCCAACTAATCAGCTATTACGCAGTGAATATCAATCTGGTGAAACAAATTTATTTTTCGTGTTAGTTTTCATGTTGCACCGCCAATAACTATTACACCGAAAATTAGTATGCTCTCTTGTTGAAAGATTTCTTATGACTTTGTTTATTTTGCTTCTTTCTGTTCAAATAAGTGAACTATCAAGATAATTAATATCAATATTTATTCGGTACGCTTTTTGTAATATACATAAAAGATAATACGAGACAGATGCGATCGTTTATTCATAGTTCTGATTACAGAACATTGTCTTTGATGATTCCAACTCGCATTTATAAAAAATATCGATGAACATATCGAATTAAGCCAGTACCATGTCACTGATTGTTATTAACGACAAGTACGTCTCAACGAGAATCATAAATTCCGAAGACTTCAGCATTCAGAAATGTACAGTTCAAAGCATTTTCAAAAGATTTTTGACTTATTCTGTGTCATTTTTGTTTGATGGCTAATTGTTTGATATTCAAGTTGAGCCTGTGATTGAAGTGAAGTATGCATCGGATAATTAAGGATTTCTTGAAGATATGTGTTAATGAACAAGACAACTTGAAGACAATTTTTTCATGGTGGGTAAACAACAAAGCGCACGAACTTTTCTCTTAGACTAACAACTTGATTAGGGTCATATTGAAGATAGAATACTAAATAAAATGTTTTGACTTGGAACCAGGCAGCCAAATCCGTTGATACGAGTTGCTGTTCTCCTGATTTTTAAATCGTAGGACTAGAATGTCCTCGGAACTCCCTATACTGTACATAAATTTAGATAACTAACTCGGCAACGGATGTTTTTTTCTTAGAGCTGAACTTGAACAAGTCCAGAAATAATTCATTTAGTTCTAATGGTAAAAGAAGTCCCACCCATAATCCACCATTATATTACATAATCGGTTTTAGATTGTGCTTGAAAACATTTATCCTTCAGCACATTTTTATTGAAAAGAAAGAAAGAACGCATATCGACATATGTCTCAATATATTCCTAGCATACGCCATTTCAAACATCTAACCTTCGCTGACGTAGATATATAAAAAAAATAACAAGTTAGTCAAGATAATAAAAGTTTATTAAGTTCTTTAGAAATTTTTCTTTGTTGTTCTTACTTTTGATAGGAGAATCTATAATTAAACCGCTTTGTACAATAAATGTCCTTGTTTTAGGATGAGCTGTTTCTTCTTTTTTTTTTTATCAAAATCCATTCTGCAAGTAATAACAAGTGTATGTTATGTCATATAGGCCAAGTTTTTAGAAAAGAAAACAAGAGTAAAAAGAAGAGAGAAGAAAAAAAACGATCGCCACGATCAACAAGGAAGAGATAAAGAGAAAAAAAAAGAAAGGTACACCTTTGCATTGTTTTAGCCAGGACAAAAAATTTAGGACTACAAACAAACGCACAGCAAGTAAAACATGCATATTGAAATAATCATTCATTTTGCTTATCTGAGCTCAGTTGTTCGAGCTCTTTCCAGAAATTTAATCGATCTTGTTCTTTAACCATGGATCTGTTTTTTAAGAAGAAAAAATAGGTAAAATCTTTTCTATTTGTCTAAAGTCAATTTACCTTTGTTCATCATCGCGTAATGTATTTAATACATCATCACATAATTTTTTGTTAATATCCATTAAAGTTTTCAATAGATTGTATGTTAATGTTATTATATTTGTATTCCAATGTGTTTTAGATATTCGACATAATGGTGGAAGAAGAATTGGTAGTATTTGTTCTAAATTTTCTTCGATTAATTGCACAACATACTCATTTGACCATAGAGCTAAGGATCTTTCTGCTACCTGAAAATAAAAGCGATGAAATTTGTTTTTATCACAAGAAGAAAAAAACGGTCAATCGGAACCATCTGTTGAGAACTCGAACATAGAAAGAAAATGAATGGCATCACATAGTCAAGTCATTCGAAAGGGAAAATTAAAAATATACGACGGTATTATTTGACGAAGTCTGAAATTATTTTTCTTAATGACTAGTAACAGCTGAACGATAATGAATGAAAGAAATTTTGAAAGTATTTACTATACATTTAGAAGGAATTTGTATCTTGGAAGTAGCCGGAGATCGAACTGGTTATCGCTCTGTCTAAATTTTTTTCCGCTCACATTGCACAATTGGAATAGTGCAATAATTTATCAGCCCAGTGTCGGTTTGGACTCGTGGCTGGGATGTTGTTAACTTTCTAAGACGAAGAAACTGTTCCCAATAAAGTTGCCCGTAGTTCAAAAATTTAAACGACAGTCTTATGGAGAATCTCTCTTATCCGTTCGTTGAGCTGCTTGGTTTTTCATGAAAAATGGTCAGATTGTAGTTCAGTAGTCATGTATTGGTGTCACAGATGAAGTCCTACACATGTTTCATGTCGAGTGAAAGACATTATGAAATTGTGTTTTAAATGAAAAAGGAAATTGCATTGCTTAAAAAGTAAAGATGGAAAATGTTTTCTACTCCGGAGTAACTTACATTTAGGTTGGTTTAGTGAGGCATAAAAATGTAATTTTAGTTAATAATTCTCAAATTTTGAAATGCGAAATGAATTTTCATATTTATTTTCGTTTTGTTTATTCGAATATCTTATTCTATAGAGAATCTTAAATTGAAACAAAACTCTACAGTGTTGCTCCTAAAACAATTTTGAACTTTAAAACAAATATCAGCGAATGATATAAAATTAATTTTTATTTGCTCGTAAAGCGATCTGCATGACATTTCAACAGTCGCCTTTTCATCTACGCATCGTCGATCGTGCCATTTTAATATCCAAAAATGGTTCTCCGTAAATAGAGAGTATTAAAATGCTTGAAATAAATAATCAAACAGAACCTCTATATTGACTAACTATAAATAACTATCATTGCACAAGTCATATTACTCATGAAAGTATCATATTTATCGCAATGAGAGAAAAATAGTGAAGATGACGCCAATGCTTTTTATTATTCTAGTAGCAATGTTTGTCATTTGGAATTTAAGCACAGCTGTTGATTTCAAAAAAAAACTTCCTAGACCAAGACATGCTTAATAGAGCCGCAAATTAACATGCCAGTTGGCTTAGACTCACCAAATATTAACTGTCTCCATGTAAATCATATAATTAAAGAATAGGATTTCAATCGTATATGGATTCTTTTGGAAAAACAGTTTAAATTGATCTTACTTGAAAATGTGAGGATGTTGCTGATCGCGAAATTTGTTTAAAAAGTGGTGTACAAACATTTTTAAATATTTGTCCATCGATTATATCAAGAATTTCTTCTAGTTCATTAAGAAATAAAACCTAAATTTTTCAATAATTAAAGAAAATAATTACAGTATGAATAAAAAAACAGTTTATACTTCTTTTGTTGAGCAAGTTTTTGGCCAAAATTTGAGTAGACCTTTGATAATCGGCTCGCCAAGTGCTGGATCTTTTTCAATAAATTGTACAACACAATAAGTTAGCTAAAAAATAATAATTAATAGGATACATCAATGCAAAAAAGAAATAATTATTTTAATTTACTTGTGGATGAAACATACTCAATGAATGAGCTTTATGTAACGGTATAAGTACACGCCCAAGAAATACTTTATGCTCTTCTTTAAGTGGTACAGCAAAACCATTAATTATACTAGATAGAATCAAAATAGATCATTTTTAAATTAAAAAAAAAGTGAAAACAAATACCTTCCAAGTATTTCAAGTAGTTCAGCAATACCATTAAAACGTTCGTTTTCATAAATATACCTGAGAAAACAAATAAAATGTCTTGATTTATATGCATGGTGAATTCAATTATGACGCATAGATTGTTAACAGAGGCTCATATGCCGCCTTTTGTAATCATGCCGAGAAAAATGTCATATGGAAATTAAAATCAGAAACTTTTAGGTTTTCATAGATTTTACTTGTTGAGCTCGATCAGAGAAAAAGCAACGTTAATCGAATTCAGTGTCATAAATACATTCAATAGGAATGATGAAAAGCAGACATTACATCAAATAGATTTCTCGTTATTATCCAAAATAAGTTAATTAACATTAATAAATATACCTGAGAAAGATGTTATTTATTTGTTTTCGAATGAATGCTCTTAAGCCGAGAAATTTTCCATAGATACGATGAAGAATTGTTTTTAGAAAGTCTCGTTCGCGTGGATCTTCACTATCAAATAATTCCAATAACTAAGAAAAAAAAAGAATGAAACCTTTAAAAGAGAAATTTTCATATTCTTGATTTACTTGTAAGACAAATTTTTGATCGATATATTTTTTTGCTATACTAGGTTGAAAATCAATAGATTCTAAAAATCGTAAAAAAAATTCATAGACAATTTGTGTATGTGGCCACGATGCTTCTAATGTTGGTTCTTCATCTTCAGCACCTGTCTCATCCGATACACCATCAGCACCAATGGGCGGTAAAATACGAAATAAATTCGTTGATACCTTTATAACAAAAAAGAAAAAAGAAAATGTTAATGCCCTTTTTTCTCTTTTTCTAGTTATAAATAAAATACAAACCATTGTGATCACTTCTGGATAAACATTTTCGGTTAGACAATTTCTTGTCACCGTTATATAATCAACAATTTCGTTGAGACATGCACGTTTTATTTCTTTACTTTTCAGATCGCTCACGCAATCCGCGAAATCAAAAACAACACAACACTGTTTTAATTTAGCAACAAATAATTTTTCTTGTTGATCAGCAGTAGTTTCTAAATAAGAACGCATGAATTTTTAGGATCATATATTAACTTTTGATTTATCTCAATAGATTATATTTAATAGATTAAAATGCTCTTAATCCACATTAATAAAATAAATCTCCTAAATACCTTTTAATAATGGTAATGCTTCAAGTTCAGGATGAAAATTTTTTTGTCCAAGCCGTGAAGATTCTTGTAAACGCTTTTTACGTGTTCGAATAGGTTGTTTTTTATAAAAGGGGTCATTTTCTTGTGCAGCTAAATTTACAGACATCCTATTACATTGATGCCTCTAAAAACAAAACCGATAAATTATAAACGAAAACATAAACATGAGTGAAAATACAAAGAATCAATTCACATTCGTATCTACAAACATCATCGTATAGAACAGTAGCATCTAATTGCCTATTCACGTAGTTGTCAAGAAGTAAACCAATTGAAAATTTTTTGATAGGTGTCGTTTTTCGTGTTTTGTTTATTTATAGTTTTTCTTGGTTACCAGAGCCCAAAAAACAATAAAGTCTCAATATATATATATATATATATATATATATGTTAATCGAATCAAATATCATACAGCACGAATATATCATAACAATATTCAACATATGACCTCTAGACATAGAAAGAAGACGACAAAAAGAGCCTCCTGCCAATACTCATCATGATGCATATCATAATTCTTTCTTCTTTGATAATTAAAGACCGAACTTTAGACAAATCTATCATTAATTATATGACACAATAATGTTAATAGTCCTATAAGATATTAGCAAAAAAATCTATGATTGATTAGAAAACGTTTTAAGTCGTAGATAAGATATGATTCGTGAAAGCTCTTGGCTGTTCAAACTAAATTCAATTGCAGTTAGGATGTTTTCATATTGATTGATTTAAGAACGAAAAAATGTATAAAAATTGTTTATTATTAGATTTCAGTATCAACAAAAATTTGCTTATGAAAAAATCCATTCGAACGAACGAAAGTTTAACTTGAGTCAATACCATCAACAGAGAGACAGATGATCTTAATAGATCGAAGAACAGCTGCTTTCATTACTCTCCAAATTCATTATTATTAATATTATTTCGGTACTAATAGATTATGATTAATATAAATAAAAAAATAAATTCGATTGAATTGAAATAATAGAATATATATATTTTCTCTATGGAGTTCTTTTTTACTAGCGTATAATCTTTTTTATATTTAATTTAATTAAAGAGAAACATATCGAGAAAAAAAAAGAAAAATATCTAGTATAAGGAGAAAAATATATTTGATATTTTCGTAGCACAAAAAAAAAATATATGCATATGTAAGTAGACAAAAAAATACTGCATCGAAATGAATGACCTTTTTCGGAAGAATGCAAACAATAATTTGGCTATAAGCCCAACGTGAAAAAAAGAAATTCATAAAGAATCGACTAATTAGAAGTGTTCTACTTGAAATGACCATGTCCCTGTATAAACATCATAGTCAATAAATTCTCCATGAAATTTTTTTGTTATTTGTTCTAAGTATTTTCCATAGTTCATATCAATTAACCGATCTGGGTCAGTAATTTCTTCATTACTATTCGATATCAAACGATCAATTGGATAGACACCTAATAATGATATTATAGCTTGACAATTTAATTCTTCACCTTCTGCTGGCCTATCTTCTTCATTTGGATAAACGGTTACTTGCCGACGGCCAATTTCAACTAAAAAAAATGAAAGAAAGGTAATTTAAAAAAAACATGGCATATCAATCATAGTGTTTTATTTGAAATAACAGAATAGCATGCTAACATAAAAACTCGTATGAAGTCCCCCTCAAGAGTTAACCAAGTCACATGTAAATTTGGTATTCTCAAACATAAATTCATATCGAAGATAGAGGATAATTTAATTGGATTTTGTATTCGGTAACTGCTACATTAGATTCTTATTTGCGACTGGTAGAGCTCGTTAAGTACAGGACCTGTCCAAACGCACTCGCTATTTCACACACCGTGACATACAAATTAGTTACGTTCAGAGTCACGGATGTTAACGAACAATGAAACACCGTATATAAATAACATCTCATTATAATTGCTACACACACTCCTCATTTATTTCGTTGCTAGACAGTCGAGTAAAAGAAAAGTGTCTCATTTTGACTAATTGCACTGACTACAACGTGTTCTACATTTTGCATGCATAGCGGTTATAGAAATAATTGGTTTCTCTCTCTCTCTCTTTCATTTAACTTACCAATACGATCAAGATCAAGTCCAGCTAAATTCATATGTAATCCACGAAATGTCACCGAACCATAATGTTTTCTGCCAATAGTAAATTCTTTGACGAAACATTGACCATTTTCATTACATGAAGAACGTAATTCTTCAATGGTTGGTTTTGTATAGTAATCTTTATGTGTTAATTTTGGTAAACGAACTAGTTGTTGCTCTTGTTTTCGATCTCTATTTTTTGATGAAATGTATTCTTCATATGTGGGAAATTTTTTCCATCCAATAGCTTTGTCCGATATTAATGATGATGATGATAATGATTTATCAAAAATTGTTTCACTAGACGGTTCATGTGTTCCAAGAACAATCGAACGAATTTTATTCATATCAAGTAAACGTGGACGTTTAATAGTTAATTTTGGAATTTTAAATGTTGAACAAGGACCATCATCGAAAATGGATGAATTATTATCGTTGTCATTGTCAATAAACGAATCAACTAATTTTCGTTTATTAGATTTTGTATTTGATGATAGAACAATAGGCTTCCTGAGCATTGATGAAAACAGATGAGTTTTCGGAGGAGAAGTTGATGTATTAAGTGTTGAGCGAAGACGAGCTTCATCGTGAGTGATATTTGTCTAAATGATGAAGAAAAAGAAGAGATTGAATATTTTTAATAGAGGAATTAAACAAAAACCTAAATGCCCGTATGAAAGAGATTCCCTTTACGTATATAAATGTTTTGATTAGCTAATTAATTCCTATCTATGTTAAAGAAAATTTTGTTCTATTGAAGAAAAACATATGTACAATATGCTGGCAAGCGAGATAATTGATCGAGACTATGTCGTATGGCATTCATGGGGGTATCCAGCTGCTTCTACACATGTTCTTGTCTGATTTACATTATCGATGGAAACTAGGATGCATTGTAGAAATGTAAATGACGCCAGACAATGTTTGCATATGAGAACTCTACCCTCGGATATCATTCTACTGTCTAATTTCAATGAATCATCAAGAAAAAATGTTTCGTTTGACTGAACTTGTAATATTTACCTTAGTGTGCCGTGCAAGAAAAGCCGATTCATTATCAAATGGTTGTGTATTAAGCATTGTTCGAAATGATTGTAAATCAACGGACGATGTTGTTGCTTGATTCATGGTTGAAAATAAAACAGCTAGAAATGAAAATTTCTTTGTTTAGAAAGACAAAGAAATGTGCAATAACTTACGAATAGGCGTAGTATTTGTTGATGATGTAATTACTGGTTTTTTTGATAATGAAAAATTGAATGATAAATTTGCCGTTGTCGCGAGTGGGACGAATGATGAAGTACCTGCGTACGATGAGTCATACGTATGTCGAAATGCGTTAAAGGGAAACTTACCAGGTGTAAAAGTCGATGTTGAAGGTTGATTGTTTTCAAGTGGCAATGCCTAAATAAGGAATAGAAATTATTTGAATGTCAGAGAACTGTTTTTTTATTCTTCAATTTTATACTGTTATAGGTTTTGTGGATGATTTATTATCAAATAGAAACGAAGTCAATCGTGATGAGGTCGTTGGTGTGCTTGTTGGTATAATTGTAGATGCATTTTTCTGATTGTCTTTCAATGTATCGGAGCCAAAATCCTAAATATAAAATAAACGATCCGATGCAATATATTCTTTTGACCTTCGTTTTGTTTATTTTATACATTAGATAGTTTTGTATGGTATGATGTTTGCATAAGATTTTTATTGGCTTTATCGAGGCCACCAGTTGATACATATTTGTGAAAAGTAGTAGTTTCAACTTGTGACGTCTTAGGAATGTTGGTTGTTCCTAAAAGCAGAAAGATGAATTTTTGTGTCTCAGATTCGGTATAAATAATTACACCAAAGGTTGACTTCATGTATATTTCTGCCTCGATCTGGAGTAGTCTATTTTAGATCGTATATAATCTGAGGCTTCGATTTCTACTCCCATGGAAAGATTTTTACTGATACAGTAATTCTGATTATAACGAGATTGATAAGCCGATCAAAATATGTTAATCATAAATTTCTCAGTGTGGAACACACGTGGTTGTCAAATAAGTATCTTGCTATTATCCAGTATCATGCTAATGTTGACTGATAGATAGGTCGATTCTTCAAGAGCCTATCTCATAGATAAAACATTCTTGCGAATCTGATACAGGCAAAGCAGCAACTAGACGTCTTCAAGAAATATGACACATGTATACAATGTCCTGTCAGGTTGTCGATATTGATCGAACTATTATGTCTATATTAGCACTTGATTTTTGTTTACCGCGTAAATTTGATGACAAGAATGGTGTTGTGCTCGTATTGCCAAATAGAAAACTACCTTCGGTTCGATGCAAATTTACAGGTGTCGATTGTCCGAAAAGGCTCGTATCATTCAACGGTGTTGAATCCAAATTAAACATATCAAATAAAATTTAAATAAAAAAAGGCAGATCTGAAAAGAATTCGTTAATCATTATTTTTATTTCAAGAGAAATTATAGACAGAGAAGAGAGGAAAAGCAGAGAAATTTTTTTTTGTTTAATCTAATACTTATCTGATGTTACGCACACACAAAAACACTATGCTTAGTCCTTTATTTCATTTTACTGTTCATTGGAAGTAGACAAAAAAAAAGAAAAAAAAAAGTTATAAGAGTATATATAAATATCAATAAACGTATTAAAGAAGATGAAAAAGAAAAATGCAATGGTTCATTCATTATATCAGGATATCTGACAGCCTGTTTGCTAAATAAATTATTTTCTTTGTCTTTTCATGTTTGACTAGTAAAACAGGCAAGGTGTACTTTGTAGATTATTGTATATCTATTTAAGTGCGTTCTTGTTTTGTTAATCGACTGGAATTCTATTGTGAAGATTATGTGCGTAAATATGATGAAAATATAAAAGAAAACAGAATATTTAAAAACGGCCGGATTCGATTTTCGGTGACGACGTTGAAGGCATTTGAGAGTCAATACGAATATATGAAGATGGAACAAAACCAGCTGAACCGTCGGATTTTTTTATACGCGTCCAACCATCGCCATGGTCATCTTCTAAGATTTCGACATGTTCACCAACATGTATGGTTGCTGAATTTACATATTCACAGCCATTGACACCATGGCCTAAATAAATGCATCTTTAATTAGTTCAAACAAAACTCTTTCCGTTTTCGATATGTTCAAGTTGTAAGTCATTGTCTGCTGAATATCATCGAACTGAAACTTGACAAAATTCTCATCAACAGACGGCCAAGAACTATTTGATGTACTCAATTTTCATGATTCGAAACACCTTAGCAAATACGATTCGCACAGAATCAATCAATCGGTTTATTGTTCCATAAGCAAACTGAATTATCAAATACTTGTCAGATTACTTTAATCCGACGAGACTGCTTTTGTTATTTTTTCTAGTTTATTATGAAAAATAAATAGAAATTTGATATTCATCTCAAATCAAACAAAATGTTTATTTGTCTTCATATATGTTAACCTTGCATATGAAAATCATAATAATTTAAATATTCACAGACAAAATGAAACAAATCTGTTGGCAGTCTAGATGATTTGTCTAGGTACTCTTGCTGAGAATAGAAATAAATTGTTGATTTTTTTTTCATACCGGTAAAGTCGTAAAGTACATAAGCTTTGCTATGATTTTCTTGATTTGATGGTTCATGATACGGACTCTCGTGTCGATCGATATCATCATCTTCATCTTCAAATGATCCATTGACTTCATCAGTTGTTCCATCTGTTTGATGTATTGTCATAGATGTTATCGATGGTAAACAATGAAATTCACTAGGTTGATCATAGATATTATTTCTATTGTGTTCAGGAATATCAGGTGGACTAAAACAAAGAAATTAACTAATAAAATAAAATTTAAAAAGAGCCGAAAAGCGTCGCTATGAAATAATGAATTTAAAAGGAAAGGAGAATCATATAAGAAGCAATATGTGCGTCTGCTATTTGTTGATTTTCATCTACATGCTTTTATATCTGATTAGATGTGTTCGTAAAATAATAAAGAAAAATTTGACCTAACCAAACCGTTGCCGACCAACGTCGATTGATATTCGTGAATTTAAGATGATGTTGCAGCAAATAGAGTGAACTACATACAAACGGGTATTTGAATAACTTGCTTTCTCGTTATATTTACCTTCGATTTTGTGACGATGAACTTAGGTTATGAGTGCCTATAGAAAGATCGGAACCATAAATAGAATGTGAACGTAATGATAAATCAAAATCTGATGATGTTGATATTCGAGCACGTTCAATTTCGGCTATATAAGACTAGCAAAAGACAAAAAATGATTGAATTGAATTTCAAGAAGATTTTTTCTAACTTCAAATCGTTGTATTTCGGCTAATAATTTTTCAATATTTTCATCGATAGTTGTAATTTGTTGTTTAACATTTTCTTCATCGCCAAATTTTGGATTTTCTTGAAAAACAAGTTTCATTTTTGCCAAGCCCTCTCTAGAATAAATTAAGAATAAGATTTTATAGTGTACGTAGGATATTTTTATACCTGGCTTTTTGCTTTTTTTCTAATTCATTTTTACAGTTGAGGATTTGTTCTTGAAATTTTCTTAAGCGTTGTGCAGGTGGCAAAGAACTAAAAGGCGCATTGATTTTTACCATGCTGACATTAGACGAAGTTGAAGACTAAATAAAATTTACTCGTTTGTCAATTTTATGTGTGTAAAAAAAAATTCTTTTCTATGTTTATAAGTAAAATTATAAAAATCAATTACTTTTCTTTGTGCTGAGGTTCCAAATATTTTTCGAATTGTACTAGCTGCACCACTAGCTTTTTTTGCATTTATTCTTGATGTTCTTATCAGTGTCTGTGCTTTGCTCATATGACTACTAGGTGCATAGATAGTTGCCGTACCATTCGGATGACTAGAATCACTATTGGTACTTCTCAATGTATTTGAACGATATAATTCATTGTAAATTGGTTGATCCTGTCCACTGTATATTGTTGACGGAAGATCGTCTGTATTGAGATCAACCTAAAACAACAACAGCATGGAGTTCATGAACATTATTTTCTAAAAGCAAATGACCGTTTATGATCAACAGTAGGGAATAACACACCCTGGAGCCTTATGTTAAGTGCTTTGTTTTCTTTATGGTTCACAATATAGAAATTGTAAGCTACTCGGATTCGCTCTTCATTTTCTGTGCCCGGGGTAATGTTTAACTTTCTTCCAAAAATCATTCAAAAGTGATTCTTATTTTGATCAAACAAATAAATAGAAGACACTTGAAGTATTACTCCATTGAAGATTATTTTTATGCCCGATCAGTACATTAACGACTGAAAAAACAGTTTCACATTTCATTGATTCGTTATTTTTTATGAGAAAAAGTTTGATTGATCTCTTCAATCCTACATTATGCGTATTATCTATGAGAAAAAAAAACTAGAAGCAACCTTTGAATAGCAGTAGACTTTCTCCGAGTGCTTCCAACTTTCTTACCACTTTTTCATCAATAGGTATATCATAACCAGATTTATATTCATCGATAACAATTTGAGCATCAGAATATGGATTTAATTGTTCAGTTTGTATTGCCATTTCGTCTAAACATCGTTTTATTCGTGGTAAAACTTCTGCGTGTGATTGAATAAAATTAAAATAAATATTTTTCAGTTCATTCGAACGTTTTCCATCTAGTTGTTGTAAATTGGATAAAATACTTGGCAATTGTTCTTCGTAAAATAACCGTTGAGTATCGTTGTACATTGATACTTGGGACGAATAAGTTGCATGTGCATCATCACATACTTTAGATTTTGATGTCATTAAATCACGTGATTTTTCTAATTGAGCACGAGATAAATCGAGATCTTCATGAGCTTTGTCGTAACCTTCTTTTGCGCGACGTGCTGATTCGAAGCATTCTTCATATTTTCGTAATGACTAGAAATATTTGGAAAGAGAAAATTCGAAGCTTATTTTAATTCGTAGTAGGTCGAAATAATTCAAAAATATTAAGTTTACAATGAAATTTATTGAATAATCTTTTTGCATACTATAAAATTATGCTTCACATGAGACCGTAGTTCAATATTTTTCGATGTAGTAATTTTCTTCCTTGTACAGTAATTTCATCGCCGCAAACTAATCAAGTGCATTCAAAAATCACCGTAGTACAAGTTTTACTTTAAATATAAAATCGGATGTTTTCCCATTTGAGAAATGATCAATTATTTCCTGAAAACATGTAGACCTTTTCTTCAGTTGCATCCTTTCACAATGTGCTTGGTGGTGTAAAAACAAAGATTGTTGATGTAAGCACTAGTCTACGTCAGAAAAATGCCGCAAGAGATGTACGCCATTAATTAGTAGTTCATTCATAGCCGGATGTGTATTCACGTTTCTCCTCCCCGAGGAATTAATCGATTGTCGAAAAATAAAAAATAAAAGTCTCAAGCGAAATTCTTCATTAATTTTTAAAATTACTTAATGGCAACGATAAATTCCTTTTTATTTTAATAAATACGTACTTTAGTCAATAAGTCATATTGTTTATCAAGTTGCCGTTTAACTTTGTTGTAGTCGTCAAGATATTTTTTACGTTGTTCTCGACATTCTTTAATTGTGATTTGAATTTGTTTTACTGTATTTTCGCGTAAATTTTCAGCGATAATTTCATGTTGTAAAGCTAAATCGTGTAATTCTTTTAATGTGGAACAAAAAGCAACGGTGTAAGAATATCTATGCGAAAAATCGTATTTCTATTTTTAGTTATTTTTAATAATTAAAATTACTTATTATAAAATTCTTCTTGTTCTTTTGATTTTGGCGTGTAAGTTTTTGTTAATTTTTTTAAAGCTCTTGCATAATCATCTTCTATTGTCGAACGATCTTTAAGAAATGATTCGTATTTTTCACAAAATTGGACACTTTTTTCTGTATATTTTGAAACATTATCAAATTGATCCTGAACAGATTTAAGAAAACAAAGCAAAAAATGAAATGAGAAAAAAATAGTATATATGTATCAAATACAAACCCAAAGTTCGATACCCCAACTTCGGTTAATCATTCTCAATCGTTTTATTTATTTTGAAGTCGCTTACATAATCATCTAGAAAGAAGTATCAATGCAACAATCTCGCTGGTTTCACTCGTGATATCGTTTATCATCGCTGGTGGTGGTGGTGGTCGTATTAATAGAGAAAAGAAAAAGAAAACGAGTACAGCATGATTTCCTCTCATTAACGACAATAGATCACATAACATTCAGTTACTAACAGTCAATAAATCATTTTCTAAATATTACTTACCAATCCAGTGAACTTTTTCGCGATCGATCAAGAGAGAAAAAAAAGCGCTATTTGATTTCCTTCTTACGATAATAGAAGTAAATTCTTAACTTTGATGAAGATGTCTCGTACAAGTATGTCGAATAGCTGAACAATAATAATAGGCAAAGAGCAAAAAGGAATAAAAAAAAAAGGAAATATCGGTCAACATGAAGGTTAAACAGTGTTGTTGGTGGATGACAGTGGACAGAGCGTGAGACAGTCAGAGCAAATAAGACGCCGATGTTGTTACAACCGCGTTAAATAAACAATATTTTAGTTGAAAACAATAAAGAACAAGACAAACGGTACAATGTGATAAAACTTTGCACGTCATTAGAAAGTCGAGACAAAATGGTTTAATGAGTAGCTGAGATTAAATCATCTATAAAGCAACGTTTGCTATTTTAATATTCAACTAGGAAGAGAAAATGAGCGTAATAAAATTAAATCAATACACTTGACGACTACTGCTACAAATTTAACAAGGACAAAAGAAACCAGACAAAAGAGAATGAGAAAAAAACACGAATGTATGTTTTATTGTACGTTTTTTTTTCTTCTTTTCATATTAATGAAACTATCTTTCGTTCTTTCTTTTTATATCAGGAAATTTAATATATAACAATTTGATTTGTCAAGTGAAGAGTAAAAGAAGAAGAAAAAAAGATCCTTGAATATGACTGCGTTTTGCCCTTCGGGATAAATCGAGTTGTAAAACAATAGAAAGAAAAAACAACAAAAAAAAAGGATCTTTCTTACTTGCTTCGTTTTATTTCGTTATTTCAGTTCAACGTACGACGAATCACCGTATTTATTTCATCGCCATACTAATTGAACGTTAGTCTTTCTAATGGTACGATAACGGCATCTATTCAAAAATTCATAAGCCATCATCATTTCGGCTATACTTTTATGAAGATGACAATAGTGTATCAACAAATATTTCTATTGTCAAGTGAATTTATTCGAAATAATTGAATCGAGAATAACTGACTCAATATAAATTATTAAAATAATCTAATGTAAATTTCTTTTTTTTTTTATAACGATCAATACAATCAATTATTCATATTGAATACTTCTGTTTCATCAAAAAAAAATCATCCTGAATAAACAGAAACCAACTGATGGTACATTAATTAGAGTAAATGATTGGCACCAATTAGTGTTCTACATGTGAATAAATTCTAAGGTTGTTTTTGTAAAAATTTGAACTCAATAAAGAGCTAGATGTTAGTGTTGAAATGACATCCTCCGATCAACAAAAACAAAATCGAATTTTGTCGATGATTGATTATAAGCCTGAGGGTGTATCTTTTATATTTCATAGATAATTAAAAAAGATACTTATGAGTCATATAAACCTCCCAATAATAGATCAGATGATTTGCCTATTAATATATTCTATATGATTTATTTCTGCGTAAAAAAATTTCAAATATCGAACTTTGGACAATGCATTCATCGTATTTGCCCTAAAAACACCTATGCTTTGTTTTTTATTATTGTTATGTATCAACTTTCTTTTTTTCATCAATTACTCCATTGTGCTGTCAGTTCAGTATCAAGAAACTATATTTAAAAAAAAAAGATTCATTACATTATGTCAATGATGGTTATTGATCTGACAATAGCTAACCATCGTTCTTTTTTAATATAAATATGTACGTTTCATTCGATAATAAGAAGCGTGCCTGTTTTTTTTTTTTGTTCTTTATGGTTTTGTTTATTTTTAGTTTAACGTCTGTGTGCATTGATGTGTAGCATGATACAGTCATAATGTGGGTAATGGTTGGTGATTTCGTTAAATTTTCTTGTCATAGATTTATGATCGAACTTTTATTTATCATTAGAGTATCACAAGAATAAGCAAAAATATCGGAACGAAAAACAAACCAAGACAACTTATATGCTTAAAGAGGAAAAATAGATTTTTTTTTATTATGATCCTGTTTTATATTATTTCACAATAAAAACTTTCGTAAGACAAAAGAAAAAATACTGTTCTAAAGCTAAATAAAAACGAAAAAACAAGATCAATAGTTCATAATTTGCTTTGAAAACATACTGGTTCTCGATAGAAATGTTCTAAGAATGCAAGTTTAAACATAGAAGCAGTAAGCATTTGGAGCACCAGCTGATGGTGCTGCAGCTTGAGATTGAAAGCCACCGAAGCTTTGTTGTTGAAAGCCTCCACCATAAGATCCGGCTCCACCAAGACCAGCACCTTGAGCTTGTTGATAACTACCAACTCCTTGTTGTGCTTGACTGAAACTTGCTCCAGTACCAAAACTGCTAACGGATGGACCCGCACTTGCAACAAAACCGCCACCTTGTTGTTGATAGGAAGCAGCACCGGCACTTCGTCCTTGCACACGAATTACGCGTTTAATGACTCGGGGTGGACCAGCTGGTTCAACAACAGTTTTTTCGTGAACACGTGGTGGTGGTGTTTGAGGAATTTCAGTAATTTCTTCTATAATATCAGGACCTGCACGTTGAATATAACTAAATGTAAATTCATCTGCATGAGAATAATGCAAAAAATTATAATATTAAATATTTACACTCGTTCAAGTACATCAGGCTCTGGAGTAGGAAGACGGCGTCGTACTTGTCGTGCTGGTCCTTGAGGTGGATCGGGCAATCGAATAACTTGTCGTCTGTATTGTGCTTGACGTCGTGCTGCAACCGGAGCAGAATTTCCTACTGAAACAACACTTGTATCTCCTTCTTGCTGTGATACTACATTTACTCGAACGCTAGCAGTAGTAGCTTGCACTTTACCTTCAGCTACCAGTGAACCGCTTGATGATGAACTGCTTTGATTGAGACGATAATCAGTCTGCGCAGCACCTCCCGTTGGATACGAAGCTGCAGAATGAGTTACACTTTGACTAGCAGTTGGAGCATAAGAACTACCAGCGCTTAGGCCACCAAAATAACTAGCATTTTGACTACCAGAGAAACCAGCAGTTTGACCACCAACGAAGCCAGCACTTTGACCATCTAAGTAACCAGCAGTCTGACCTCCGTAGTAACCAGCATTCTGGCCTCCGGAGTAACCAGCATTCTGGCCTCCGGAGTAACCAGCATTCTGACCGCCATAGAAACCACCAGCACCACCACCAAAACCTTGTTGTTGATAGTAAGCTCCGTTCATTTTTCGTTTTATGTATGAAGCTAATTTATCGTTATATGTAACTAAGACTAAAGCTTAATAATAATAATAATAATAATAATAAAAGTAAAAGAATGCGTATCAATGTACAAAATAAAAAAAGAAGAAGAAGAGCTCAGCTACTATTTCTGTGTGAATGATACCCCTAGGGTAAATGTGGTTACTACATTAGCTTATTGGTTGATAATTAGACAATAGAAGCTATTCGAAAGTACTGGAAAAAAATACATAGAAGCCGTGAGAAAAAAATATCGAAGGCCAAGCATTATACAGAGAGAGAGAGAGAGAGACGACAAGGTGAGTGACTAAAAGTCAGTCTCTTATATTTTTCAAGGGTAAAAAAATACGCCAACACAAAAATAGCGAGCATTTACTGGCCATATGCATTTATGTATTTTTTTTGTGTCTTAATAGCAATGCCCTACCAATGAATAGATGAGAGATATAAATAAAATAAAACGTATGAATGATTTTTCTCATGATACTTTTTCATATTGTCCTGTGTGATGTCCAAATGTGAAAGGTCGTTTTCTTATCTGACACCTGAATAAATTATGTTATTACATGGCTATACAATCGCGTTTCGGATGCATACACACGAAGCAAATTATTAGTACTTATGAAACATCGTTTGATGCGGTTGTGCACTTTATTGATAAAAATAAAGAAAAACGTTTGGAATCAATAATCTTCCATAAACTGATTGCATACAGTTATTAGAGTCTATACATAAATAATATTCAAAAACTAGAAAAAGAAAATCTAACCGATCAGATGTGGCACTGTGTTGAATATGCGTTTTCATTTTGATAGGTTATCTATGTGACTCGCTAGAATGAATTTAATCTTTGACTGTTGATCAGTTTTAAGTAATAGATCATACTATATAGGAAACGTGTTTTACCGTACGAGTGCACGTTAATGTACTTAAACTATGTCCATTGCCATCTATCGATAATAAATATCGACGAGAAAATCTAGATTTTTCCATTCGTTCTCTATAACAACCATCAATAATAAAAGATTTTGTCTTATATTTAAAAAAGAACATTTTATTTCGAAATACAAAAAAAAAAATACATCAATAAATATTCGTTTAAATCCACTAAATCTATAATATTTCTATTTCAGTCAGAGTCAAAATTCTCATCTTAAGAAGATTTTCTTATAAATCCATAAATATTATTATTATTATTATTATTATTAATAGTATACGTTTTTGTTCTCTTCCGTATTATTCAAACGAACATATACAAAACAGATAAAAATCACAGATCTGTATTCTCCGATACATATAATGTTGAATAATGGCTGATGAAATGTTTTTACCGCCACCACTATCAGCAATAGCTTATTCTTCTTATTCACCCGAATCAAAAAGCATCATTTGTGATTATCTAGACGAAGAGGAAGAAGACGAATCTATTCCAGTAGTTTATTCTCCAACACAACAATCATCAGTATTTTATGAGTATCAAAATAATCAACCATCAAAAGGACAATTGGATTTTGTCCATTATGGCCATGAAGATAATCCCGAGGAAACATCGGACTTCGTCGTTGATGTACCTATTCAACGAGTGTCTTCCGAAGACGAGTTGAATTTTTTTGCCAAACGTAAACGTGCAAAATTCATTGGCCCCTATCTATTTGGTGATGTTATTGGACATGGTTCATATGCAAAAGTGAAAGAATGTCTAGATGGCCGTAATTTATGTCGACGTGCTGTTAAAATCATGCAAGCACGTCGCCTACGTAAAACACCACACGGAGAAGAAATGGCTGAAACAGAAATACGTTTATTAAAAAAATTAAATCATCCAAATGTAATACGATTACATGATTTTATACGAAATAATGAAAAACAAAAATTATATTTATTTATTGATTTATGCGTTGTCTCTTTACAAGATATGCTTGATGCTAACGAACACAAACAACAGCTAAAAACATTTCCGACGTGGCAAGCACATAATTATTTCGTACAGTTAATTAACGGACTAGAATATCTGCATTCAAAACTTATTATTCATAACGATATTAAGTATGCATAATAAATAGCTATTCTTTCTTACAAAAAAAGCCGATAGCAGTCCACTAGACTTTCATATTTTTCTCTACAAAATTATTCTTGTCGTAGAGAAAGTTTAGATTATCTCTATTCTATTTTATTTAGGCCAGGAAATCTATTGATCACTGTTGATCATCAATTGAAAATTACTGATTTCGGAACAGCTGAACAACTTGATATGTAAGTTTTTTTTTGGCAACGGAATTATTTCAAAAACTTGCTTTTTTTTCCTTCTTAATACTTAGGTTCAGCCCTGATGATACAATTAAACGTAGTCAAGGTATGTAGTTTAATAATTAAAATAGATTATTTCTTGAAAATCAGTTCGCCGTAAACATTTCAAATCCTTCTTTTTGTTCCTAACGAGCGTCCGGCGATTAAGATATAACAATCAGCTATTTCTCTAGGGATCTAAAAATCATTCTATCGATTCAGAGAATATCTTCTACCTATAACGACTTAATTAGTTCGATACTAGAGGAATGAGTCTTTGTAAAAGGCATGTACATATGTAGGTACTCCTGCTTTCCAATGTCCTGAAATTGCTAATGGTGAAGATACTTATAATGGATTTTCTATTGATATATGGTCATGTGGTGTCACATTATATAATCTTGTCACTGGACACTTACCATTTGATGCTGATAATATTTATCTATTGTTTCAAACTATTGGTAAAGGTGTTTATATAATACCCAGTGATATGGAAACGAATTTAACTACACTCATTCATGGTTTATTACATATTGATAATCGTTTACGTTTCACAGTACAACAAATAAAACAACACGATTGGTTTCGAAGACGACCACCACGTACTTTTGACTATTTGCCATTTCCTAGTTTAGCATTAAATCGTTTTCAAACATTTAAAATGTATGATTATCTGAGTGAATTACATCAACCATCAGTTAAATTCGAGAATAGTAATCAAGATGAACCAATGAAAGTATCGGACCATTCTATGGCGAACGTGAAGGCAACATTTGACAATCAATCTAATCAACAAGAAATAGAACAGAATGGTCGATCAACACTTACTTGTAATGAAACCATGAGTGGTCAAAATATAAATCAAATTAAAATACGAAATAGACGTGAAGCTCGTATATGCTCTATATCATAAAGAAATGTATTTCTCTGTACTTGTGCCTCAACTGAATGATAAGAACATTTGTGTATAGTACATTTCCCTCCTGTTGTCTTTCTCTTTCTCTCTCTCTCTCATTATCACACATGCATATTCTGAACAGTTGTTTTCTTGTCTGTTGACACGACGAATGGCAATGCTAAGAGCATGATTATATTTCGTATGAATGTGTTTTTGTGTATATTATCAGTAATTAATTATTAATGGAATTTTTCATGACAAATTGAATGTTCTTTCTCTTGACTCTTTTTTTCTTCTTCTTCTTCTTCAAAGTCTTGATCTTGTTATCTCTGGTTAAAACGAAGAATAAAATTTAGAATAGGGATAAAATTTTTTAAACGATATTCGATGAAGAAAAGATGTATAATTAGATCCCAGCATTTATATGAATTCGAATTTTTCTTGTGTTTGGCGAGGCATAATACAAAGAACTATGAAAATAATTGAAATCATCAGATTTATTGCATAAACAATTCAGTTACTTCTTCCAATTACTATCTATCTATAAAATGCTTGACATAAAGTTAAGAGAAATTTGTTATTTAGCCTTGCTCACCATTCACAAAAAAAATAGGTATGCATTGATACCGCCTATCGAGATTATAGAAAAATAAAAATGAAAGTTTATGTCCAATTATGATTGCCGATGTAAAATAGGTGTGTATTCGTCTGCATTGCTGGTTGAAAGACTAGTTCTGCTTACAATGAACGTATTTGTACGATAGAGTATATAATGTTGAACAATAAATACAATGTCGAACAACACGGAAAATAATCCAAGAGCAAATTTTGTTGGAGAACCAAATATAGATGACCAATCATTATAATTTGCTGCAAGAAGAAACATTTGTAATACACTTAATGTGCCACCAGTAAAATCTAGTAGAATATTTCCAATAGACCAGCCTTCGGTAGATTTTCGTTTATAATTCATCCAAGCTTGTGGAAGATATTTAATAGTTGTTATGACTAATTTAACATAGGAATAAAAATAGAGTAAATTCAATGTTGACAAACGATTTGTAAGAGCGACAATTGTTGATATAAATAAAAAAATAATTAATATGCTACCAATAATTCGAGCAATATAGGATATACGTTGTTTACCACGTTCAAAAAATACGCATTGGCCAACAGTTATGAAACATGCAAATACAGCATGAATACTGAATAAAACCTGAAATTTAAAAACCAACAGATGATAGGTCTTGTAAAGCTCAATTATCCAGCTTCTCTATGTTGGGTAATTATGAAAAAATGAATCGTCTATTGTCCCCAGTAGATCTTATACGGTTAGTTTTTCGGGAAAAAAAAAACTCCTCCTACGTTTCTTACATCATTCAGTAATACAGGCAAAACTCCATGTGGATGTTTAGCATAATATTGCCGCTGTATATCATGTGATGTATATAAACATATATTAAATATTGAATAACATGAATGACCAAGTAGATTTAAGGCTAAAAAATCAAAATTAAGTCCAATAACACTTTGACGACGAAAATTCAATATAATTTGAGGATAAAATGATATAGACCATGCAACGAAATAAATCCAACCAACAATTTGTATTAACACATTTAATGCATTACTACGTGCTATATCAATAAGAAGAAAATCAGACATGGATGATATATTTATTTGTGGCGATTGTCCTGTTACAACAAGATGACCATTGCGAAGTGCATGTATTACAATTACTCGACTTTGATCAATACTTGTCTGTTGTGTGAATGTTATATTTGGTAGAACATTGACATAACCTTGAGTATCCGTAAGTTTATTATCGTAAAGTAATTCAATGAAGACATTGGGTGGAATTATATCTGGCACGAGGAGACGAACATTCACTGAATGCGATTCACCAACTGTAATGCTTAGATAAGTTGGTTCAAAAGCAATTACAGATTTACTTTGATCAGCAAATGTTGTTCGATTAATTAGAAACAATATGAAAATAACTGTAGACAGAAGTTTTGCATTCATTCAATCTACAAAAAATAAAATGGCGTGATATTTCTTTAACTGTAAAATTATTTTACGGTAACGATAGGATACAAGAAAATAAATGCATAATTAACCTCGGAAACCTTAGTTTTTTCAATAGAATAGAATTTATTTTATGATAATTCAGTTCGAGTTATTTTGAATCTTTGTTTTACGCCGACAGCTTGTAAATTAAAACGTTATTTTTTATATATTGTCGTTCTTAACAGAACTGACTGGAAATTGAATTGATTTTTTGCGAATTGAAGAAATCGACTTATCTGGATGGTTTCATCATTGTGGCAAATCAGAAGCCGCGTGTCGCCACAGGTCTTTTTATTTTCGTATTTTTTTATTTCTAAAATGTTTGGCCCACAGACAAGAATGTAAAATATCTTTTCTAAAATAAATTTGTTATGAATCTACTAATGGCATTATTGCACTAAAAGCGATTGTCGCGACTCATTTCTTCGAATGTCAATTCATCTCCATCCGGGCCCACTTTTTTCTCTGGCTAATGAACATTTTCCAGATTACTCATTAAAAAGAAAAAAAAAACAAAATATTTCTTATTCCACATAACTATTGCACATATCATCCTGAATAGCGTACATCCAGATTTTGGTTTTACTTTTTTTTATCTATTCATTATTTGCATATTTTTCTTCTATAGAAAATAAGGAATTCTATCAATTTTTGATTTTCTAATATCATGTCTTATCTTCATTTGGCATCCAATGCCAATACATCGTCGTCATCAACTCCATCATCTTTTTTCAATGTAAACAGTAATGGTGGAGTTTCGACAGTACCAACATCATTGTCTACAAATTCATCATCCCTACTCGGATCTATCGGTGGTGGAAAACAATGGACGACTATTGGGCAACCATCATCATCGTCGCCTTCGTCAAGTTTATCACAACAATTATTGATGAAACAACCAAATTTTCTGAATATGCAATCAACAACATCATCACATTTTGATAATATTCTTGGATCATCTTCTCAGACACAACTTGAGAAAAATGTAAAAACGAGATTCCTCGAAAACGTTCATTGCATTTTTTGTTTCTTTCAAAAACTCTAGTTTGAATTGCAACAAGAAGATTTTCCTCCATTACCACATCGTAATAATTTTCATGAATCATCATCATCTTCGTCGATTAATGTTCAGCCAATTCATCCAAATCCAATTTCATCATCCAGTCATCAAACAATAACAAATGGATTTAATTCAAGTCAACAATCACAACCACAGCATTCACAATCTCAATCGCCTGTTTCATTCAAATCTTCGATTGATGCATTAAGTACATTGATAAGTCGATATCAAGTATCTACTAATAATACTAATAAACCATCATCAACAATAACAGATCAATATGGTCTTGTCGGTCTTTTACAAATGATTCAACAAGCAGAGAAAAATCCTGATTCGTCAATGTTACTCAATTTTGATTTAACAACACTGGGGCTTAGTATGTGTTTGATTTTACTTTCCAGAGATCGTACAGTTCTATTCGTGGTTCTCTCATGTAATACGAATCTAGTTAAGTTTTTTTCCTTTCAATCTAACGAAAGAAACTATCTGAAAACGAAAGAAACTTAGGACCTCTTGGTGATATTATCATTTATGATTCTCTGTATTTCAAAATTCTAGGTATGGAAAGTACAAGTGATTTACATCCTTCATTTATTTCTCCATTTTCTGATAATCAAGCTCGAGCATATGAAATCGATTATCAAGTTCCAGTTGAATATCAAATGGGCATGCAAATACGTGAAAAACTGCCTCAAGTGAATTTTTCAACGTTAAACGAAGATACTCTATTTTTTTTATTCTATTTATTTGGCAATGATTATGTGCAATTATCAGCTGCAAATGAATTATATAAACGTGATTGGCGTTATCATAAAGAAGAACGTATATGGTTAACAAGAATAAAAAATATCATGCCGGATCAAAAATATGATACGTACGAAACAGGTGTCTATTGTGTATTTGATGTTCAACTTTGGCGTAAAACACATAAAAGTATGCGAATCGATTATGATAAATTAGATGGTAAGAATTTCGAAAAACAAAATTAGAAAGGCCTTTTTTTATTTACTATTTTTACAAAATAGGTCCTGTGGTGAAACAACATCCAGATGTACTTGCATCGAAATTACTTCAACAGCAATATGCGCCTATGACATCGTATAATACAAATACATCTAGATAGTCGCTTTATTATTTTTTTAAAAATAAAATCGGTGTATATAAAAAAAAGAAACAGACAAAAAAACAACAACAACAACAACAACAATAAAAAATATCTTCTTGCAGTTGTACGAATGATGTCTGACAGATAACAATGCTCCTTTTTTTTGTCTCAAAAATAATATCTTGCCATTGTTATACATACATATACATATATATTATACATAGATATAGATGTTTGTGAGTGCTGTTATTTTACGTTCACTCATATCTTCTGTTTGTTCGTCATGATGTCGTTATTTCATTCATTGTTGTGTTTAACATACTTTTCTCTTCTGCTTACTTTTTGCCCTGTCTTTTTTTCTTTCCCTTTTTACAATATATACTACACTATGTGAAAAAAAGATTGGTTGCTCTTATTCAGGCGTGAAACAACTTTCAAGGGTGTGGGTCTGGTATTACTATATTCTTGTTCACAGTTACACCGCACACGCAGGAGAACAATCATATACTAAGACTTGTCAAGATTCTGAATCTGATCTTGTTAGATCAAGCAAAAAATCATCGTCTCAGAAATCTTAGATCGGCACGTACCATAATATTCGTGAAAGATCTTAATATTGCATAAGATTTTATAAAACATTGTAGTCATATCTTACAATACAGTAAGATCTTTCAAGAATGTGATGGTACGCACTGATGGAAGATTCCGCAAACAACGATTTTTTTGTATGATCTTATCTGGTATTCAAGATTTAACGCCAGATATTTAGACTTGGGCAGCCATACTCTCGCACACACCGAACGATCAAAATTCAGAATTGCTGAACAACGAATCAAAGAACTATATGATCGGTTCAACAATACCCAGATTACACTGCGAGATCTATTACATGGACTTTCTTTTTTGCCTCGAATGAAAAATGAGATGAAATTTAATCCGTTATAACAAACTAAACTGCATTTCTAACATTATTGACTACCACTGCTTTTATTTTACTGAAAGGACATTTTTTTGAAGGACTAAATCAAAACGACCATTTTCCGAGGACATTTTGCCTAAAGGACTTCTTTTTCCAGGGACCAAATCCCTGGGACATTTCGTGAAGGATATTTTTGCAAGGACGTTCTAGACTGTTACCTATGACATCGGTGGCGTGTATAGATGCATGGGCGAGCACGTAAAAGCGCTTTCATCGTATGAACACGCACTGGAAATCAGGAGAATAGCTCTTCCGGAGAATGATCGAGAGTTGGCTACTACTTATAAGAATATTCGTGAGGTGTATGAGAACATGGGCGATTACTTGCAGGTACTATCACACTTTTTAAAAACTCAGGATATCTTGCAAAACTCGCTATCTACAACACATCCAGGTGTCGCATTGTTGAAAAATCGAGTTGGAAATTTAATGACAAAAGTGTAATGTACTTTCTTTTTACGAAAAGAAAAGTAGTTGAACTGTTATTTTTCTTGGCTATCGTAGTAGTAGAGATAAAATTTTTCTGTTTGAAAATTTGTTTCGACTATACGGGATACAATGACCTCCATTGCTATAGCGTGATTGAAGAAACCGACTGAAATTCTATTGAAGATAGAGTTGGCAAATATAAACCATCGCTTTTGTATATCTGAAGTGTTTGACGATTGCTGATGAAGGAAGCATAGGAATGATGGAAGTATACTTTATTATGTTCATTTATATCGTTCTCTCATATCGCTTACACCAATAAGACACATTGTCCGTGCAATCAGGAAATGAAAACGGAGAATACACGTATGAAGGAGAAAATTATCGTTGAAAACACGATTCTGTATCATGCATACTCATAACAGAAAGAACAACATAGTTCATGAGAAAGAGAGATGACAAGATAGGATTATATGTCGTGTAAAAATAGTGTTGAGAATATGGGTGTGCAGGATTGTTGAGTAGAAATATAGATATTCTATTTTAATAATTTATCTTTGCTCGCATTCTGACTTTGCCTGCAACATATACATACATGTTATAATTGTTCAATACTGTTTCGATTCACGTGTGTAATTGTAAACTTTGTCAAGAATGTTTCTTTTAATTAATACCAGTGGTAGCCTATATGGAAAAGTTGATGACTTATCATGAAATTCTGAATTCAAATCGAATAAAATGACACCTTCATTGAAGATAATAGAAAAACAGGGTTTTATTCTCCATTGCGATATGAATAATTTTCCAACAGTTCGAAGCCGGCTCAGAACTATGCATAAATCTCTCTTCAAGATTTATAAATTGATAGCTTTTATTTTACGAGAGCTACGATACTGCAGGGTTTCCCAAAAATATAACTCAAAGATTATAGCCAATCAATTATTCTTGCACATTTTTTAAATGCAGCTTTGGGATTTCACTTATTCGTCCATATCTGAATGAAACGCGCATGATTTTAGCATAAGCAACAGTTTTGTTTTGGCATGTGGTCGTGAAAAAAATATTCTTGAAAATTTGGTAAAAATCGACAAAAACTAATCGAGTGAACTTTTCAGGTTTCATCCAAAAGAGCGGCTGTTACCGAAAGAAATTTATTTTTTAATCTACTTGTCATGTGTTAGAACATTATTTGTTAGCAAATGCTTTACAAGCGACAATCAACAGAGAATCTCACAATAAACTTTTATTCTATTTCAAATAATATCGTACAATAGAATTCTAGTTATGTGTTTTTTATCGCAAAACATGGCTTCTGATGCTCCTCGAATATAGATATGCAACAAAAACTTTTTGTGCGTTTTTTACATCCACATCCACAACCACACCCAATTATCATACTGCTCTTATTTAAAATCATGTGCTACAATATTAAAAATATATAGACAAAGGCTTGATCTTCTTAAACCGTAAATCAATAGACAAAATGTGAATCCTATTATTCGTTTTTTCGTCGACCAAATTTATTATTTCATGCTATTCTATATATGACTAGTGCTAAATCTATCATGAATGCCGATTTCTTTTCTGTATTGACTTTCGTTTTTTGGTCAGCAAATCTAACAACAGCAATTTCCTTGCAATCGTTTTCTAATGTCTCTGAAAGAAATACAGCATCGATAGGATTAATTGGTGATCCTAACGATGTAAGTGCCAGGACAGTTGGAGCTACGATAATTGTTGGCGGTGGTCAAGATGTCGATGAAGTTTATCAATGGATGATTGAAAAAGCAGGTGGTGGCGATTTTGTTGTACTGCGAGCTTCTGGTACTGATGCTTACAACAGTTATATTTATGAATTAGGCTCCATAAATTCTGTTGAAACTCTACTCATTGATTCCCGAACGCTGGCTAACAATGCTCTAGTTGAAAAGACGATATTAAGTGCCGAGGCAGTATTTATTGCTGGTGGTGATCAAGCAAACTATGTTAACTTCTGGAAGGATACGAAGGTACATCATGCACTTAATTTTGTACGTAATGTTAAAAAAATACCAGTTGGTGGTACGTCAGCGGGTTGTGCTATTCTAGGTGAAGCTTATTTTTCAGCACTCGAGGGAACCGTTACGTCTCCCGAAGCTCTAAACAATCCGTACATGAACCTGGTTACACTTGGTTATAAGGATTTTATGAATCAACCCTATCTGTCCAATGTTATTACCGATAGTCATTTTGATAATCGTGATCGCCATGGTCGTCTCGTAACATTCCTTGCTCGTATGAATCATGACCATGGAATACTAGCTCGTGGTATAGGACTTGATGAATCGACTGCTGTTTGCATTGAATCCAATGGCACTGGTAAAATAATAGGCTTTGGAAGTGCTTATTTTCTTACACAAAATGGAATGGATAGTACACCTGAAACATGTCGCGATGGCTCACCTCTAGATTGGTATCGATATCAAAAGGCTGTAAAAGTTTACAAAATTCAAGCAACTACCGATGGTTCACACACTTTTGACCTTAACACATGGGGTTCTGGTACTGGTGGAATTCATATGTATTACTATGTGCGTGGTGGCGTACTCTATAAAACTTTTTATTAACTAATTGTTTCTAATGTATGAAAAGGATGTTATATTCAAACATTCATTTAGAATACAACTGACAGATTGATTACTTATTTTTAATTCAGTGCTTTGTGCACATTATTTAGCTTCTATTTCTCTTATCCGCAAGTTAGGAGAGAACTTTTTTAAATGTTCCAGAAGAAGACCATTGCTTATCACATATTCATCTCGATGATAAAACATTTGATGAAAGAGCAATGCTTATCCTGACAAGTAAAAGGAAAAAAAAGAGAAGGATTTCTCAGTTCTGACAGTAATGCTGTTTTTAGATAGATCAACGTATGCGATAGACATTGCCAACAGTAATCTCTAACGTAATAATGATTTCTATCGAGTACAGTCAATTTTGACAGTAATCTTAGATAATATTTGTCGCGCGTGATATTTGCTTTCAATATGATTATATACCAACCAGATTCTAGCGCCCACTATTGCTCTCGCAGTAATATTGGTGTAATATTCTGACTGTTCGACTAGACTGGACTTTTATATTCATATACACAGTCATTTATGTAACAATGTTCTTCGAAGATCGTCGCATGTTTCTTCTGATCATTCCAATATGTATTGCTATTGTCTTATATCCGGTCCCATTCGATGGCAAACAAATTCTATCGCTTGATGCTCCTTTGAAATCTACATTTGATGTTCTCGTGAATCATATATGGAAATTCCATCCTTTTGTAGTTCATGTAAATGAATTAAAAAAGATCAATTCAACTTGTTCATATTACGAAATCATAGATCAAATACCATTTATTCCACCATTGAAAATAAATATTCCAACTACATACTATGTTCAAATGAATATTGATCGAGACAATAATTGTATCACAAGTATTGTGCATACGCAATTGAATATCATGCACGCATATCATCAATATTGTATGCATACAAATACATTGAAACAAACAACAACCATAGTAACAGATCAATTTTATGGTAAATCATGGATGATTTTCAAATATTATATACGAAATAATATGTTCATATCACACAAATACACTCTTGATAAATTACGAAAAGAAATGATGATTTATTCCAACGAATAGATTTTTTATACTGTCATAAATTCGAGTTGTTTTTATAAAAGATGTTTGTTAACAAATAATTCGTATTAAAATGAATAAAAACGATGTAGTAAGTTAACAATTCTTTACCTCGATGATTACAAATCATCTATCATTTATTTTTCAGAAAATCTAGCTTCAATGTAGAATATTTGCACAACAACAGCTGAATCAAAACAGAATTATCTTGGATTCCTGTTTGTTTATTTTCGCAAGGGGTATTATGCATATCATTCATAGATCTGCATGTAGAAAGCGCTGCGTATAGTAAAGAACGATTTTTTTTTTTCGAGCTAAAATTTAAATAGAATTAATCGCATTGGTGCTGTCAAATTTTGAGTATAAAACTAGAGAGTTAGCTCAAAGCAAATTATTTAGGTTTACTTATCAGATTTTATTTCAATAAAAATATGAAGTTATGTTTCGTGATGGCGTGCCAAGACTATTTCGGAGAAGGGTTAGAAAACTCGGTGCCCTTTCCTACTGAGCATAAGTCTGAATTCATAAAATATATATTAAAAAAAGCACGTTTTGCCCTTTATTTTTTTAAGAATAATGGCGTGCAGTAGAACATCAATCAAAATTATCAACACAGACAAAACTTGCTTTGCTTTTATTTGTTCGACAGCGTTTTCTTGAAAAGCAATCTTAAAGTACGTTTATGTGCTCACGAGAAACAGTAGCCTATTACGACATGCAATAAAGAAAATAATTAAAAGTCATTCCACAAAAATCTGCAGAAATTATTAGACTTGAAGAGGTCACTTGCAATCTATCAAAAACACAATAATAAAACCTGAAAAGAGAATGAGTTATTTCAAGTATTCAATATCATATTTTATTGCCCAACATGACTTCATTTACTAGCACAAACAATTGAGTTTTATAATCCAAACGTCTCCCGTATATAATGTAATTTAATTCTTTTTCTTTTTAGAAAAATCTAACAACCTATAGAAAGTAAACAAAACACAAAGTCGATTGATTCAAGCAACGCTTCCCCCCCCCCCTCCCACCTACATTGTGCTTACCCAGGTAAGTAGCCTGAAGTAAAATAACCTCGAACACTTTTTAGAATCGTTGATTGATACAAATTTTCATCTTGCACATAATGAGGAAAATATTTTGTTGCAAACAAAAGAAAAGAGTTTTCCACTTGATTCATGTCCGTGGGCGGATACGGAAGTTTTTCAAGTCAAATTTTCAGATCGGTAAACCTTAAAACACAGGCCAGAACCATATGATAGAAGTTCATTAGTGATGTTTATATGGTTAAATAAGTTTCATCCATCAAAATCATCGAATCACCATGGGTCATCACATTCTTCGTCAGAACAACGCTTCATTTAGTTAAAACCTACAATTTAATTATTGCTTTATATATTATAGTCGTAATCAATGTTCCACATCCTCTGAGTCTGAAAGATCATTATTTCATTAGAGGAAAAAATTTTTTTTTTGAAAATTTCCGTTTCTCCCCAGAGGTATAGTAGAGCAGAAAAATTTTTTTTTTCCCTATTCAGAATGAGTTATATCTGTCGTTCCAAGCGAGCTGAAGATCTGATTCCTCTTAAATGAGAATTTCCATAAATGAAGGACGCTAAGAAAATACCCGCGATCATATTTCTTATCTAACTAACTATTCACAATGTAAGTCATTTTTGTACAACAATTGAAAAATTTTGTTGAATATTTTTTACAGAAAATCCAAAATAGAACATTTTTGATAATAGCTCGCACTTTTACAGCTGTTCATGCTCTATTTTTGGTGCGTTGCATGAAGAAAAATTTTTTGAGTGGCAGAATTATAATCTTAGTAAACGTTTGTTGTAGCATGATTTACAATTATTTTCTCTATGGTAAGCTCATGTAAGCTGAATTTCTTATGGAGTAGTTAAATGAGATAAAAGTTTAGTCTTTAATGATTCGTTTTCGAATATTAATTAGAAAAGGCTTTTTGATATACTGGGCTTCTGTTAGATATTCTTATATAGGCTCTCTTCGAAACTACAGCAGACAGCCCTTGATTTTGTCTCAGACAGAGTGTAGCCTTGATCGAAGGACATTGAATTTATCATTTGTCAATATAAAAAGAAAAACTACTAATGCATTGCCACGCCTTGGCTTAACATGTAAGAAGAAAAATCGGCAAATATTCATATTTTTAGTTTATCTTATAGTATGTTGCACATATAACGTATCTACTATAAACGCTCGTACTCTTCGAACGCTTCATATAGGGGTTGGCTAAATATAAACTGAAAAGAAACGCAAATAAACTAAAGAAAAGATTAAATTTTGAATACCGAAAATCACAAGATGTTATCTTTTGCATTGTACTTCATTGAAAAGAATTTCTTATCAGCCGTCGTTTTTATTTCTTCGTATCCAACTATCTTTTTCACGTTACGCGTCTATTTTGTTGCACCTTAATTAAATAATCCTTTACATTTCTAAACTGTTTCTTTTTACTTTTATGGACTATTTATTGATAATCAATAAGAATTTCTAGTTCATACCGATCCTCAAAAATTATCTGTTAAACTAGCTCGACAAGCTGCCTATTTTCTTGCCGTTCTCTCTGTCGCTTTGAAATGCAAACGTCATGGCAAGGGAAAACAAATAGTGAGTAGAAAACTATTTCCATTCTTTTTCTGTATTTTTGGCTACGTATTGCTATTAAATCGCCCCCGTTGTTTCCCAATGCAACAAGGCTATAGCTTGTCTTTTCCTGCTTCTTTTTCATTTCTATCATAGTATTCTAATGATATATTCTCGGCGGGCAGCTGTCGCGTGTGGTTTTTTAGAAGTAAAAGAAAAAGAAAAAGAAAAAGAAAAGGGCAGAACACGCAGCGTCGGCGTGGTATTATTACTTGATTTGCCTATCGACAAGAGCAGAAGTAGTAGTAGTAGTAGTAGCAGCAGCAAATCATAACAGCGATATTGCTGTTTCTTTTTATCTGCATCGTTTTTTTTACTATAAAATGCGTTGAGTGATTTCGTTTTTTATTCTTCTTCTCGTTCTTTTTTGCGTTTCTGCTTTTCATTTCGATAGACGAAAGTGTAAAAGGTAGAGTTGTAGTGGCGTGGATGTCGATGATGCTTTCATCTTCAAGTAAATGAATGATTGAATATAGCTCGCATAACTTATTGAGAACAGAAACACAAGCCAGTGCACACTGTTTTAAAGTAAAATATATAATTTGCATATATACGCTATTGTGGATCGTTGCAGTAAGTTGTCGATTGGCTAAATAATACACGCGACTATATAGATATAGATATTCATACATTAGTCATTAGCTAAATAAAAATATATTATTAACAAATTTATAAACCGTGATTCTTTTTTCCTTCGTCATATCGCTTTTATACCGAGTTTTTTTTTTGAATAGTAATTCAAACGTATCTTATGAGAACAAGGTCTCACATCACATTGTGTATAGCTGGCAATGAAATCATCAAATCAAAATGATGGATGAATAATAGGAACAAGTAAAGAAAAGGGACGTGCGTCACATTCATTCTGTCGATGACGACATGAGAGAGTATTGGATGAGGATAGAACTATAATGATATAAATCGAATCTAGAGGTCAATGTCCCCGATCGTTTTCTTAATTTGAGTATCGTAAGAGTTGACCCCATTATCAACCGAAAGGTATTTTTTACGAATATTAAAATAAAACTATATTAGTTTTTACTTATCGGTTGGCGAGTCGTGTGTAAAAAGAAAAGAAAACGAGAGCAACCTAAATGTAAGTTAAATTTTTTTTCTTCTTCATTTGATGAAAAGCAAAAACGATAATGTGTAACTATTGATCCAGAGCAATAAAAAAGAAGTAACTACGACAAAACAAAGAATGTCATCGATACATATATACATGTATTTTTGTTCTTGTGAATGATGTTTCTTCTAGATAAATACATACATACATAGATATAATATTTATTTTTCCTCCGTTTGTTTCCATTGTGATCAAGACTAATAATGCTGACGGAAAATAATTTTCATCATCATAATGGTGGTTCTGTAGTTCCTCAACATCGTGTTCATTATGCTCCCTATCAGCCTCCAACATATTCAGGAAAGTTATCACAACAACAACAACAAAATGATTTACAAACGCCTAAATTTGATTTACATAATGCTGTTCGGACAAATGACGTTGCTGGCATAATACGTTTACATGGTCGTCTTAGGCAACAACCACTTGTAGCCGATGCTTGTTTATTAGATTCAAATGGGCATACACCACTTTATACAGCTATAGCCAATGGTAGACTTGCTATGGTTGATCTTCTTCTTCATCTTGGTCATAATCCCGTAAGTTCACTGAGTCATTTCCTTTTTTGTCTGGTGATAAACGAGAAAACTATTTGCTCGAGAATGTTCGATATTTGAGTACAGATATGAAACAATAGTTTATCTTTCTTTTCTTCTATTTAGTATTGCATATCAGTGGCTCGTGAATCAGCATTAAATGTTGCTATAACGTCTGGTCGTCTAGATATAATAGATTATTTACTATCACGTGGTTTTCCTATTGATTATGCTGGATTTGAAAATAAAACACCATTAGAACGAGCTATTGAATGTAATCAAGGTTCGGTTGTTGTTACTTTACTCAAGCACGGCGTTGATTGGCGTCATTATGACGAACAACGTAAAACAGGTGATATGTCACTTATTGAATGGGCATTGGCACATGAACATCCTCAAGTCTTAGGTGTACTTATTGATTTATACGGCGATGATGAATCTGTATTCAATCAAATCGGCATGTTGTAAAAAAAAAACGAAACAAATTATTTTGTATATAGTTAAATATAAATATGCGTGTATATCAACCAAACCATGTTCAGGTACCTATTCATTTTAATTGTGTGTTTTGTAAATAGACAAAGACAGCTCATTAGCCCCGGTTTTGTCTCATTAGATCATATATGTGTTTCATTGCTTCACAATCAACGCTGATCGTTGTTTGTGTATATTTGTGTATATCATTATTAAAAGAGAAAAGAAAACAACAAGGCAGTTTAATGTATATATAAATATAGTATATTCTATTCATTATAAAGTGTCATTGTTTCATCTGTGATCTTCTTTTTTCTTTTTCTGTCTTTTTATGTTGTATATTTATGACGAAGAAAAGAAAACAGCAGAATAATTCTTTCACTTGTATAAAACTTAAGAAAACAAACGGTATACGTGCATGTGCGTGTGACTATTTTGCTTGTAAATAAAACAGTACGTATATAGATCGATTTCTGTTTCGGCCCTTTCGTTTTATCAATTTCGTTTCTTTTTGTGTATAGTTTCTTTTTTTTTCCTGTGTACATTCGTGTGTGTGTTTTTTTTTGTTCTCTAGGAAAAAAGAACGTAAGGAGCAGAGACGGTTATCTTTAAAAAAAACGTATTTATTTATTTATTTATTTATTTGCAAACAAGCCGGATCATTTTTCAATTGAAATATTACTCCGTCCGACAGATGATCGAAGGCAAAACTTTTGATTTCTCGGTGGATAATAGCTTAAGTTTTAAGATAATTATTCCGGAATATCATTTGTTAGTTAAAAGAGAATTATTATAATCTCTTTTGTCAAGGTTTTTTTTAGCGGCATGCATTTCATGCTGAAAAGATTTTTTCATATGCTTAAATGAGCATCAAAGATTCTAAATACGGAAGTCTGAAGATTTTCTTCTTTTTCTTGTTGGAAATAATTTCAAGAATATTGCGATAGGACTATTTCAATTCAATTCTATACTTGTTGCTTCTTTTGTGCTCGTTCTATTGAAAAGAATATGAGAATAATAGAAAATAGATATGTGTATTGCTCGTAAATTAAATCCTTAGGCGTGAAATAAAAGAAGATATTATTTCGATTGATATATAAATATGGATTTACTTTTGAAGTTTATCCATATGAATATTTATACTAATAAATTGAAAGCAGGACTTTACCCTGGAACGTTTCCTTTATTTTAGCGTTCGGATCATTTTTGTCAAGCTTTTAGTAACAAAAATAAATAAATAATATGATCCGTTTTGAGTTACTTTCGTAAATTGGCGATTACCCAGAAACTTACACAAAACACAAATTCAATTTTGAAACTATCGAATTTCCTTGCGCGTCTCATTGACAAAGGCTAAGAATACATCTATTTTAGGATATGCCACATTTCAGAGTTTCAATGTTTAAGAGAAAGTGGGTGTCATGTAAATTCTTTATGCTTCGTACGCACACTAATTAGCCGCTTGAATGAACCGATGTCAAATATAGTCGACATGCCATCCGACTGGTAAATCGAGATAAATAGCTCTTAGTGAATTTGCCTAGGGCTACATCATGATTATGAGGATTTTAATATAGTACCTTAATGATAACATATCAAACTAATTAGTCAATCAGTCATAACAAGACAGGTCTATTTAACAATAGAAAGTACTCAAAACTTAAGTGTCTTCACAATGACTCAATCTCGTTGAAACATTTTATTTATGGCAATGATGAATTTCGAAAATTCATGTTGAAGATGATTTGGTGAAGTGCAAGGTCTTTGTACTTTGAAATTTTACCTCGAACGAAAAAAAGACGACTTTTAAGGACAAACTATTTGTACCTCAATTGATTCAACTCATAAAACCCATAAATAATTTCGAGAGTGTTGCATTTTTATTTAGATTCTTAGGTAAATCCAAAGAAACATCCAATGAGTTATTTTTAAGAAAGAATTTTAGATTTTTCGAAAACTTCGGCAAAGCAAAGAATCAAGTTTTTATGATTAATCAAAACAAGTCCCAAATCAACAGAGAAAATGTCAACGAATAGACCAACTATCATTGTAGCAAAGTGCAAATCTCTTTTTCATCACATATTTATCCTTGTTAAACATTAAATTGTCAATATTTTTGTTATAAAATAAACCTGAAAATTTTTGATTAATCTTAATAATCTTATTTTGCTACTTGTACTATTGATTATAGACAACAAAGAAAGCTGTTTAGTTTTTATTTATCCTAATAAACAACAAATTCATTTACATATAAAACAAAAACAAAGTATTACAATTTTGAAAACCATTTTAGTGTTCGAAGAAAAAATAACCATTTATCTTTCCATATCGTCCATCGAATTTGTAAAGGTTGAGAACCAAATCGAGACGGTTGAAGGCCCAACATATTTCGTACTCTTGGTAATTCAAAAATAATTGTTTGAGAAAGTTGTAATATACTATTGAGCGTCCAAAAGAGCACAATACCCTAATATGATAATTAAAATACAAAAATGTAAATAATTACAAGAGAAAAAAAAAACCTACAGCCGGTAATTTAAATGCAATCAAAGTAAAACCAGTGACTACGACTCGCGTGAGCGTTCGTTGAATTCGACTCGCTGTTAGAAGTCGTGGATTTGCTGAACCTGGTTTTTCGATCGAATTAAACTAAAAAATAGAATTATAATGAAAACGCAAGAAAAAGAATAAATATTATTAACGTACAGTTATTCCTATCAAACTGGGTATAAGAAACCCCAATGGTAAAATACCATATGGATCAGATTCAGCTAAATTTTGAAACCATAATAAACCTTCTTGAGATACAGTAGCTAAATTTAAAAAAGTGCAAACCAAAGCAATCCAATATATTTGTTCTTCAAAAGATTCGATTTCAAATATATACTTGCACACGTTATAATATATGAGAGAGATTTGCTTATTACTCATATTATCATAGAGTATATTGAGATCAGATGACAAATAAATAGATTGCTTATCGGAGAAATGCCTTAGGATTATTCATAGCAGTATTTATATCGTGCCGATCAAATTCAGAAGGACCTTTTTTTTCTGAGACTCAAATATCTTAGCTTACATAAATATAAACCATCGGATTTATTGTCGAAAGAAAACCAATAAACTTACGTAGAGTCATAGGTGACACGCAAATCATACGAATACCAAATGTAAAATACAGCCATGGTATCGAACCAAATAATGCTAACACAAGTAGTTTACCGGGATGAACATTAAGTTCTTGATAACCTCGTTTTGTTAATTGACGAGCCTACGAACAACGATTTCATAAGATAAACTTCTTGATTCAAGTTTTTATCTTTACTTCTCGTTGAATACTTTTTTTCTCTTCGACTATGCTTGCTGTTTTTCCTTTCATCGCTTGCATATTTATTGTTTTAATCCGAGGCTCTAATTGATTTGTAACAACACGGCGAACCGTTTGTAGACGTTCAATAAAACGTTGCTGTGAAACTGTAATGGATGCACCAACAACAACACGAAATGTAATTGTTGCTAGAGCTATTGTTGCCCACCATGGTAAACCTACACTATCGTGAATCTGTAGAAGACTATTAGCCACAAATTCAGATGGTGCTTGAACAAATGTTTCATATGCAATTGTTGATGTGGGTTTTTTCTCAAAATAGATCGATTGTTCTTTGAGAATAGTTGATAGATCAACTGATGATGATGAATTATAGCGTGTTACCAAGGAAGATGTAATTCGATGCAACGGAAAATGTGAATAAGAAAAAATTAAACGACGGCAAGATAACATTATTTTGTTTTTAAAATTAATCTAAAAACATTCAAAACGTATTAGTTTTTGTTTTTATTTGTAAAACATAATGGAAGATTTAGCTTAAAACATTATTTCTCTTTTATTATGCCTTTGACTATATTGATTTCGACGCTTGTAATAATCTTTCTTTTGTTTAGTTAACAATACAGGATCATATGATGGATATCAGACAAGCTTTTCTTACAATACAAAACAAGTAATCAGATACGACGAACCCATCTCTCAAGAAATATTATTTCGACTGCTACATCCGTACGCAAACATAATACTGATCATTTCATATCAGGGTAGAACTATCCACATTTATAGTTCAATCTCGATTTGTTCGTGAAAAACCCGAGGTTGATCATCTCGACATTTCTTGAAATGAACTTTCCAGAATCGAAAGAAGTTCAAGATCATCTTTGATTGTAAAGAAAAACATAATTCAAAATATTTTTTCTTTTATTATTATTTATTTCGAATTAAAAAAGTAGATTTTTTTTTTTTTTTTTATAATTTCAATGCTGATAAACTAAATCCATCTCCAATATATTTACTAATATAATCGATTAGATCATGTTTCTTTTGTGCAAATCGAGACGATTCAAGTTCATAAATTGTACACATATTATAAATAATAGCTTCATGAATATTTTCATTGTTATCTCGAATTAATTTTTCATATAAATCTAATGATTCTTTCATTTTTGACATATAAAGTAACATAACCGAATGATTGTTTAATTCCATAGGATTTTGTAATGGTGTTATTAATTTATTGGACGAAAATTCATTACGAAATAATGAAAACAGTTCTTTGGTTGATAAAAATTCTTTTGATAAATTTTCTTTTGATGATAGTAGATTAAGAGCACGATCGAATGCACGTTGAGCATTAAAATCATCGCCAGTCTGCAACAATATTCGTACGATCAATAAATAAAGTTCGATTTGTTGTTCTATACTTTCATTTTTAATTATTTGATTTTCAATTATGGAAATTATTAAATCAACGCGTTTCATTAATACATAACAATTCGCTATTGAATATAATATACGTAAACGTCGTTTATGCCACAATTGTGTTTGATCTTTAGGCAGAATACTTAATATTGTATTTGTTATCATTAATAAACGAAATAATCTATCGAGACCGTCATGAAAATGATTTGAATCCATATAAATTGGTAATTCAGCATGAAGTAAACGTAAACAAAATGGAAGTTTTGTATAAGAATTTAAATTACCGAATGTTTCAAATTCATTTTCAATCGTTTGAAATAAACGCAATTTAATTAAACAAGCAAAACGTATAAACCATATGTGATAGTCTTGTGGATATTTGATGAGATAAGTTATTGTCCAATCGACAGCACTACGCCAACATTGTCGTCGAAGGAAACTATTTAATGATTCAATTGTTTGATGATCACCACGCATTGGATCGTAACTATTTTCATGTTCAGACGATTTTTTTGTTGTAATTTGTTGAATTGGATTACCTAAATATTTATCAAGAATTATATGAGGTGATGGAGTAGATGTGGCATTGTCGAGTATCCATAGATCAGATGTTTCAGTATCAGCTAAACGTGTCCGAATGGATGATGCCAAATTTGGATCATAAGCAAACCAAATACTTTGTGAGGACATCCAAGATTGATCTACAAAGAAAGATGATGATGAAAGTTTATAGGATTAATCATTTCAATTTGTTTATGCATGATGAATAAAGTTATGTTATCTTCTTCCTTGAGTATCACGTGCATTTTTTTCTGTTGGAAAGAAATAAAAATGGGACTCATATTATTGTTTGTCAATATAAACTATTACTCGAGTTAGCATATTGTTTTCGAATTTGCTTTTTTCTTTGGAGACGCTTACTGTGGTTTTTCATTAGATTTGTTGAATATACAGAATGAAATAACCGAAAAGAAATCGTTTCCTACACTTGCTGGATATCTAATAATTTCGATTTTAATATCTAGCTCGTACTATGTTAGATTACAGATAGTTTTTTAAATTTAAATCTACCGTAGAACCTTTGCATTTAGCAGAGACGTTCAGTAGTTATCGTTATCGATACGATGACATGAGTCATCGAACGACTCTATTGATTGATTGGTTGGACGATTTTTATGATAGCTATTGCAAATGATCATTTTTTCTTTGTTTCAGTGCATAACTTACTTATCATAATCTATCAAGAAATTTACATTAATATAAACGAGATTTATTATCCCAGGCGAGTAAAATTGTAAAGTAGCGACATCTGTTCTACCCAGCAGAACAATTCCGATAGGGGATCCTATCGGATTCGTGTCGGAATCTTATCGGATATTGTATGGATTTGATTAAATCGACGAAATCCTATCGGTATCCGGATCAGTGTTTTCTAGATTGGGAAAATTGGGCTTTGTACACTTTGATACACTTTGCTCATAAAAAACAGAGTGTACTGCACATTTTGTTTTAGATTTCCATTGGAAACACTGATCCGGGTGTGGAGCCCACAATCAGAACCCTAGTGTTGGAATCCAATAGATTCAAGTGTCGGACTTTAACAGAATCCAACATAAGCATTCGACCCATCCCAGGTCGAGCAATCATATTGTAAGATTTGATAAGATCTTGCATCTGATCTTATATGATCTTGTATGATCATTCGAAAATCATACAAAAATCGTAGTTCCTGAGATCTTAAATCAAGTCGCAGAATCAGATTCTTGAAAGATCTTTCAAAAATCTGATTGTGCTATTTGATCTAAGATCTCAAGGACTACGATTTTTTATCAGATTCTTGTAAGATTTCACCCATATTCCAAGATCTTGTGTCAGATTTTTCGACCCGGGGCTTATTCGTTGATGATTAAGAAAATGTTTTTTTTCCGTCGGTTCTGTTAGTAAGTTCGTGACAAGGAATCTGATCGGATTTTGTCGGCTTGTCGGATCCCATGATATCCGATAGGATTCCCTGCCGGATTCATTCACCTGGGTATGTAAAGAAGTAATGCTAAAAAAAGAAATAATCTTAAGCAACGCATCGAACCGAATAAATAATCATCTTGCTGCTGTTTTCTTTTTGATCATTTCTGATGTGGATAATAATAGAGTTGCCTTGATGTCACTAAGATTCCAAGGTCTGCTATCATGTGACACTTTTGATTCTACAGTATGATATTGTCCTTCAAGGACCTATTCCTATATCATTGCTTTTTATGTTGCGAAATATCCAATACATCTTCTACGATTTTCTATCTTAAATTGACAGATCCGTTCTAAAAATAGAGTTTCTATAATATGAATATCATCTTGGAAAAATGTCACGTAACGATTGATGTGCATTGACATAAACCATTGATAAACATACTGAAAGAACTTGATAGTGTAACAGCTATCATTATTTAATACTCAACATACTAAAGGTTATGATCTTTTATATGACGAATATTATAGAATGTTTTTATTGATTCAACGAAACAATATTATTAAATATTAAACATATGTGCAATATTAATTTGAAGCATTCTGCTTCTCGAATAAGTGCTGCACGTGACTCGACACATGACACACCCTATGGCACCCCAAATTTGCTCTATATGGCACGTGTAAATATTCGATGAATCGGAGAGTCAATAAATCTATCGCCCCTTTTTCAGCGCTGAAGTAAGTAATAATAATAATAATAATAATTTTGTTTTTGTATTGAATTCAAATTGATAAAACTTACTCTATCATCCAAGATGGAAATGTATTTAGGACTGACTGAACTAACAGCATGTTCTCAAAACAAAGAATTCATTTTTTTTATTAAGATTGTTTTTCAAAGGAATTGTTTTCTCATTGATAATTTTGTTGAATAAATTGTCATTTTAATTTTTATGAAAATAGACATTTATGCTTATTACCGGCCGGTATTTTTTATTATGTTTTCGAATGAACAGCTTTTTCTTAAAAACATTATTTTAGAAAATAAACTCATCTCGACGCCCAATAGAAATCCGCAATCTTTTATAAATGATTAATGTCACAATTCTCAAATATGATGAGCTTGTGATTCTTAAAATAAAGCTTTTCTTTTTTTTCTTCATCTTTTGTTCTAGTAAATATGCAGAAAGAAAAAGAAACAGGTCGCAAAATAAAAAGGTCAAAGTTCTTCAGGCATTTTTCATATCTGCTTTACTCGTTCTCCCTGTTTTTTGTTTCTCAAGAACATCGTTTCATAAAATCGAAAGAGGAGTGTCAGTTGCGTTTGATAAAAACGAAGGAAAAAAAGAAATAAGAACATTAAAAAATTTACACCCACCCGATACACTTATTATCAGATAATAAGAAAAACAGGATAAGTTCAACTCAGGTACAATCGGAATAAGTCATACGTCCGAACGATTCATTAGCTTCCGAAAACGAATAAAAGAAACAGATATGCGAAATAGCCTAGATCAAACGAACGTAAAAATGCATATAATGCTTCGTTTTTTTTCCTGCGTCAATTAGCTGGCTTGCTCTCGTTATCTAGTTTTTACGGTTGTTATAAAGAAAGAAAAAGTTTTTTTTTTCTCTATCTGCCCGGATCATTGAAAATATGCCCGTCAGTTACAATATATAAATTAAATCTAATCGATATGGACTCTTATTCGTTTCATATCAACATACTGTTGCAATAAGAATATGGTGAGTGATCAACTATAAACATCGGTTTGAAAAACATTCTTCTTTAGTAGTGTACACTAGAGAACTCTAATTATATTTCATATACGTATCTTATTTGCCTTTTGAAAATGATTTTGCTGATTGGTGTTTTTTTTCTTCTTCATATTTCAAGTAATACTCATATATATATATATATATTTGCATACATCACAAAATGTATGTATGTTTTAGTCATTGCTACTTGGTTGAGACGACGTTATTTTTTCTCATTACTTTGGATAGATAGGATAAATATTGATTTTCATCATCCAACAACAAATTCTACTTTTGATTAAGGTCATGCAGTTATGGAGTGTACTTGAGAAAGTCTTCTTCAGAGCAAGCATGCAACATAAACCAAAACAATGTGTGCAGGGTAGAAAGCTCGCTTTGCATCTCTCATGATCAGATCTTTTCTGTTTTGATCACGTACAGTGCAAAGATCGAAGGCTAAATATCAGTTTTGATCGACATGAACGGATAGCAAAAAGAAAACTTCGAAATATTTACGCATTAAAAGAAATGTCATTATCGATCTTTATTCATTAAACTCTGGATCACTAATAGTGCTATGAAAAAAAGGAACAATTCTTTGGTTTAATACTGAAACAGACAAAAACAAAAATAATATGTAAGAAGGCTCGGTTTTCATATGGAAATTTTTCTCACACCCTCATCCCCTCCTCGTTTGAATCATTTCAATCTTATATATACTCAATCAAATGTTGTATTTTCGAGTCTATGCATTATTTAGTGAAAGAAAGCAGAGGTAAAAAATACGCAATAGTTAAAAGTCTTGCTAAATTTTGTCTTCTGCATTTCGAACAATACTTGGATCACGCAGTAACCTCATGCTTTTTTTGCGCTTTGCACACCAAAAGCATTAGAAGAAAGAAACAGGACACGATAGAAAACCACATGTCGTCAGCGCGTGATCAGTATGAGGCGTGCTTTCTCTCTCTCTCTCTCTCTCTCTCTCTCTCTATCGGCGTTTCTCTTGTGCTGTTTTCTCTGTCCGCTTCTCTTCCGTTAGAGGATAAATATTGAGTAAGAAGAGTCAAAATTGCAAATCTAACGTTAGTGTCTACTATCGTGCTCGTAAAACACATAGATAAACGAATCTCGAGAAAAATTTCAACATTACAAACATAAAATATACACATAGCAACATAACGGTAAGCGAAAAATCATCGTGTATATTCCAGAATGTGTGTTGAACTGCATGCGTCATGTGAAGTAGAATTTTGCGAGAATAAAAAAATAAAATAAAAAACAGTAGAAGAAAAAAACATTTACCAACGAAATTCAGAGCCGTCACATTGAGGTTATTCTTTCTCGTTAGCATTTGTAGTTCGACCTTTATCTCGCAATGTTATTAAGAATAAAAATTAATCATAAACTTCTATCATTTAGTAAAATGCTTCATATATAGCATAATAAAGAAGCCCGTCCAGTCAGTGTGTGTATCCTTACTACTTAAAGCATATGTACCGTAATTTTTCTTCTGCTATTAATTGTTTTTTTCATTTCAGTCAACGAGTACTACTTGTATACTGTCTATGCGAGTATTGAAGAGAAAAGGACAAAAATGTTACAAAAAATATATACGAAGATCATTTCTCGAAATTTGAAAAAAATAATTACCTTATTTTTTAATTTTTCAGTATATTAAACTTCTTAGATAAAAACAAAATGTCAGGCGTCGACGCATATGATATATATTATCCAATATCATGGATCAATACCACAATATATAATATATTAAAATTATTTCGAAGTCAGCATAAAACAAAACGTTCATTACCGGAAGAAGCTGAATGTGGCACAGCCGACGGTATTCGATGTTGGCTTCGTGAAGGTATAGTTAAATAAAACTGTTTTATAATTTGTAAAAACAAAATAAAAAAAAAGAATTTTTCATTTAGGCGCAGATATTGATGCACTTGATGCTTACGGTTATACACCGTTGATGAACGCTGCTATGCTTGGTCGAGTCGATATTGTCAACACTTTGATTGAATGTGGAGCTGATATACAAAAAAGTGGTCAATTTGGTTATACAGCTTTACATGCTGCTGCCCAAAATGGGCATTTAGATGTTGTACAAGCGCTTGCTAAATATGGAGCTAGTGTTAGTTGTAAAAATAGTGATGGGGATATTCCGCTTATTCTTGGTATGTATTGAAGAAGAAGAAGAAAAAAATTTATATATATTTTTTTCTATATGATTCTCTATAGCTGTTCGTGGAACTCATGCAGAAATTATTGATTATTTACTTAAGTCTGGTTCGGATATCCATCAACATGGTTGGCTCGGAAAATCAGCAGTTCATACAGCTAGTAAGAATTTGATCAATGAGATTTATATTTTTATCAGTATAACTATTTATTTTAGTTGCTAATGGTGATCAAGCAACAGCTGATACATTGTTAAATCGAGAAATGATGCTTGGATGTTCACGCTCAGAATCACATCGTCAAGCACTTGAACATTTTCGACAGTCATCATCGACATGAGATCACAAAAATTAATAGAAACATTTCATGTCTTGAGCCCAGTGTTTTTTTTTTAAAACTTTCTAGTGTCTTGCTTTTGTATGGAAAAAGAAGAAAAACAATGCTTCATCACCGGTGTCTTCGCGTTACGGTTGTTTTGTCGTGATTCTTATTTTCTGTAGTTTTCACTGTAGGTGTATATAGATAAGTGGCAACTTATTCTGTTTGTTACATTGTCTTTTTGTATGTTCGTTGTTTGTATATATATGTCTTTTTCTTGTATGTATGTTTATTGGTTCCTCATTGAACAAGGATCTAATCATATCGAACGAGTATACGTATGAATTGATAGGTACAGAAAAAAAAATTTTTAGAGCATCTATAAAGGACGTCCGGTAAAGCTTCTTCCAAGATAAGATTTGATCTTAGCAAATTTTATCTAAGAGACTAGAATCAAACGATATGCACACATACAGTTGATTTTCTATTACACAACAAAATGTCCTCATAGTACAAATATTGACTCAGCATATTGTCCTCTTGCCGCCATGTACATTATTCTTTTACTTGAAAACAAGTGATATAGAATATTGTTTATGACCTTGATATAAATCTAATAATTTATTTCGAAAACAGAACAAAGAATCGATCGAAAACAACACATTACATTTTGAAGAAGAAAAAAATATAATAGTGAGATATTGATGAAGTAAAAAATACATTTAATATATGAGTATGGATTCTTTGTGTTATTTTTTTTCATGTCGCAACTATTATTATTATTACTTGATTTTGATTTCTCTTTCTGTCTTCTTGGGAATAATATTAGTTATTGATAAATAAATGAAATATTAGTACCAAGTAAAAACATCAGCTGTTTGTCCTTGTTGATTAGCGCGATTTCTTACGGCTATATAGGATAATAAACCCCGAATGAAAAGAAAAAACCCAGCAAATAAAACTATAGCAAAGAGGAAATTTTGTGCCGGATCATAAACTGATGTGCGATGTGTTAATGGTGATGACATGTTATCATGGATAAATGATGCATTAGTTAATTCATGATAACGCATTACAGTTATCCATTTGGCTACGCTCAATCCGAAGCCCGACATTGCACCGAAACGAGCAGCAATAGTTGGTATAAGACAAACGACCGCAAGAAAGCCAAGCCAATTGAAAAAGAATGCAATTATACTATTTGAATTAAATAACATAAACAATTTGACACAGAAGAAGCCTTTAGTTTTAAAACTTACAAAGCAATGAGAAATGTACAATCAGTACCGATATCCATATTTGAACCAGATGCTAACCAAGTAGTTATTACCGGATGGTTATCAAGACGAGATGACTACGGAATTAAAAACAAAACTGTTTTTCAAATCAATATAATTACGTCTTATTTTTACCTGTTCATTTCGATGATGGCTATTGTTTATACTCAAATCGATAATTTCCACTGGTGTTATATGAACATGATGTGGTATGTGTTCCAAATTACGTATTTTACTGGGATCAACAAGACAATAGGGCGGTGGAGCTTCGATAACTAGGCATGCGGCAGCAACCTGTGCACTTCCATCAGGATTATTTGATGATGCTGTTATTTCATATGCCGGCGGTGGTTCATCTAAGTATAACAATAAACATCGAATGAATCAGATTAGTGGGAATATATCAATTGAATTTATTTGCTTTATGCAAATATTCTATATATTTAGGTTTTCTTTTGTGTCAATCGAGAAAACTAATTATAATATGAAACCGTTTCATAAATCGAATTGTAGCTGTCAAATTGGGCGATAATAAAGCAGGTAAATTTATTTCTTCCGATAAAGATTTTTTACAGTTTTTTATCGATCATAAAAAGTTCTACAACGATCGTATTTTTGTTTTTGTTTTGTGAATGACAAAAACATGCTAATAGTATATCGATAGAAAATGAAATTTGAACTGAACTCAACAATCTTAATGGATATTTAATCAAGTCGGTGGTGATAGTATCCATAAGGGAAATAGAATTATCGTTGACGTCATTGACTGTCTGTCAATATTGGTTGTTTATCTCAAGTACATCGGGCCTGTGATAAAACTTAGATAAATATTGTTTATTAACAACATTGAATTGAACCTTAATCTAATAGAAATATTTAATTACTACTTTGTAATAAAAGAAATTTTACGCTTGAGAAAATCCGTTCTGAAGAAAAAACCTGTTAAAATTTATAATCCGATTTTATTACTCGCGTCAATCCTATTGTTGATTAGTTGTAAGCAAAAATTTCATAAATCGATTCTTTCGACTGATTGAATTCAAAAGATATCAACTTTTCTTTTTGCACTGAAGAACATATGCTATAGTTGATCTATTGACTTTTTATTACTTAATCTCTCAACCATACAATAGTTCATTTATTATCATCAGATATTATTCATATGCACAGTCGCTAATAGTCTGAGATATCTCTCAGTGTGAAACACATGTTGGCGAATTTCCCTCCTATATCTTTCATATGAAAATATAATCATATTTAGTTTACCTAATGGTGCTGCTTGTAATCCTATTGGCGTTTCTATTTGTTGATTCATAGTCACAATCGTGTGTTCGACTGATGGTGTTGGATCGATCTCGGTACTATTATTGTTCGCCATTATAAATAGACCGATACTCAAAACCCGAATAGGAAACAAAATAAATAAATAAATGATCTGAAAGTAAACAATTAATCGTTTTGTCGAGTCGATATTTAGAAAAATAGCATGAAGTACAGCAACAACAAAAGAAAATGACGTAAGAACAGCAAGGCATGAGACAAACACAATCTGATTGCAAGAAAGAAGAGAATAAGAAAAGGAAAAACAGCAATATATTAATTCTTTTCAGAGGTACCCTTTTGTACAGGAGAAAAAAACGGAAGAAAGCGAAAAGAAAAACGACCTGAATGTAAACTCGAACGAACGCGAGACAACATCAATAAGATTATGAAATCACTGTATTCACAAACAAATAATAGCCGAATCATTTACTGATGACTGGTTCCTGTTGTTCCATTACCGTTGTTTGTTGTATTCGACATACACGAATTTAAACTATAAGAACGATGCAAACTGATCATTGATGCACGGTTATTTGGGGAGGTATTAACATCAGGAATGGCAGTAAAAAAATGTATGTCTTGCATTGATTCGGCTAGGTCAGCAACATTAATACCTAACGTTGTTATTTCGGAGTCAATTTGAGATAATTCACGACGTTGCTTTTCTAGGAGCAATGCGAATTGTCTTGTACGATCTTCATTATATGCAGTTAATTCTTGTTCCATCTAAAGCAAATAAAAATGTTCGAGTAAAAGGTAAGAGGAAAAGAAATTGGTTGTTGGTTTTGTTAGCGAAAGTTTTTATGTGAATCATTGAAGACAAAATGATTATTATAGGTGGCATTAAAATTGCACTCAACGTAAATTTCTTTTCATAATTGATATTGTTTATTGTTTTGCTTTTTCTTAAGGATTCAACGCACCAAATTGTATAAATTTATAGAGCGTTTCTAATGTTAACTACTCGGAGCAAAGTACCCGAGAGACTCACACTTGAGCATGTGTGTTGTGTTTTACTTGTAGAGGAAACTAAGAAATTTCACTTTTTCGTCAGTTGATTCCAATCAAATTTACAATCGAAATTTCTACTGACGGGATTTTTCTCTCTTTGGTTTTCTCGTCTCAAATTTTAGCTATGATACTTGGCGAGCAGAAATTCTTCTTCAGATTAGGGTTCGACATATACCTGTTTGTTAAATTCTATTAATCGTTCTTCAATATTTTTCTCTAATTGTTTTCGTTCATCAAGATGTTGCTGTTCCATTCTATGGCGACTTTCTTCTTGTAAACTAAGTAGATTTCTTTGATCTTCATCGAGTATTGTTTTCAATGAAGTACGTTCACGTTCTTGATCTGTATTAAGTTTAAAATTTTGTTGATCAAGCATTTTTCGTATTGTTTCCTCGTAACGCTGATAGAGTAAATCAAATTTTCTACGCTGTTCATCCTTGAGAGTTTTAAGTTTTAAATCAAGTTCTTCTCGTGAACCATTCGTTGATGCGTATAAATAATCAAGACGTGTTTTTTCTTTTAAAGCTTTATATTGACGTGTTTGAGTATTGTATGCCTCTTTATGTTGACGTTTGATATCAGCTTGTTTCATCTTAATAAAACATAGAATAGAAAATTTTCGTAGCTGCTTTGATTTTATTACTTTGATATTTTTTGGAAATTGTTTCTGACTGAGTGCATGTCGTTTAGCTAATTCTTTTTGACGACGATTACTATATTCATTGAAATTGGCTATTTCAGTTTGGTGTTGTTTGCCAGTAAATTCATTTCGCATTCTAAACAATTAAAGATTGTTTTTATTGAATTTTGTCTCAACAGTGTTCGGATTCAGGAGTGAACTTCAGAATAGTACGTAGAAATGCTGATTTAAATTAGATCAATACATACAGGAAAAGAAACATATAAGTGAGTTCTTACTTTAAACACTTTATTTTTGTTTTCTTTTACATGGAATGGAATTTATTCGGAGTATTATCTGGAAATAACAATGGGTTCAAGGTAATCTGACCTCTCGTTTGTTAATCATCAGGAGATTTCGCTGTTCATAGATCTGAAAAATTAGGATTCTACGGATAAAAATCGCATAAGCTCGATATCTCTGGAATAAATATTTTACGACTTTTTTTGACGTTACTGAGATTAAGATCTAGTTATGCATTTAAAACAACTTGAACATATCAATGTATTTCTGTTTATAAATTCTTTTCATCGCACTTAACTTTTCTGGAGCAAAGTGACATACTCCTTACCGTCAATAATCATATATTTATTTAATTAGTTTTCTTGTCAAATTCTGCAGGTTCACAAGATCATATTCAAATTTTATGAATACTAATTATGTCGAATTCATGACCTACATAGTTTTTACTGCAACGCACTTATCAATTAGGTCAGAGCTTAGGATAAATCCTACTAACGAAAGAAAAATCTTTCCATGTTGACCTATTATTGTACATTATCTATCTTCTAATACAATAAGTAAGCTATGAATTTCATCTAATCATGGTAAACACATAGAAAAGATCGCTAATGTTTATCATGAATATTCCTCTCATGAGATTCATTAGTCATACGTAGATTTCAATCAAATGAAAATATGATCGATCACATTCAATTATTTGAGATCAGTGAAGATAGTTTTTTTTTTCTGAAGCTTTTTCAAAACCTTATTCTCTATAGTATCCAGGAAAGAAGATACACATATAGCTATCTTCAATGTCTCGAAGAAACCAATTATATCGGGTGGCCCAGGTTAAATGTCCCTCTCAGTTTTTTTTCAATAACTTCATCATTTTCATTTTCTAGGCCCTAGTTTATTTCCAAAATATTTGCCATTCAATTCTCTACAAAATTGATATTACAATTTTTTCTGTTGAAAGTTGAGGAAATAAATTAAACAAAGAATATTCAACAGGTATAACGACATCCACTTTCAATGTGATTTTTCAAACAAACTTTTGCAAATTTTTTATAGTGGCACACAAAACGAAACAGCAGCAAAGATGTGACTGAGTACTCTGGTGTACTCTTTCTTGTCGTGTAGCTCAGAACTCATTGAAATCAAATATTTAGCGCTAGCTGAATTAAAGAAAAAAAATTAAAACTTAAATTTCGCGTTTCACTTTGGTACAGTAGGCCATGTCGATCAAAATGGAAAAAGAACCAATGCAAAAAATGATATTTTGGCTTAGTTGCGCTTGTTTTCCTAGGAGTATCGAAATTGCATATTGAAAGAGCTAAATTCTCGCAAATCTGAAAGAGAATATACTTAGAGTGCGCATTATAAGGTTGAATGTGGAAACATCTCAATTATGATCGGAAGATAGAGCTTTTCAACGGCTACAAAATATCTACATTGTTTAATTTTCATCGTCACTGACCAACGAAAAAAATGTGCAAAAACTATTTTCCAGTTTTGAAAGTTGATGCTGTTATTCTTGTTGAATATTCTTTTTTTAATTTTTTTCCTCAACCTTCAACTGAAAAAAATTGTAGTATCAATCTTGTAGAGAATTGAATGGTGAATCTTTTGGGAAAAAAAACTAAGGCCTAGAGAATAAAAATGCTGACGTGATTGAAAAAACACGGAGAGGGACATTTAACCTGGGCCACCCGATAGTTTAATTTAATCCTTACTTGTGCAAATTTCCTATTTGTTTATGTTCGAGTTCTTTCGTTTGTTCGTGTTGTTTTTTAAGGAGAGCGTGTCTTTGAATGATTGTATCCATATTCTTTGTACATTTCTAATGAGAAAATGAATAACGTAGAACAGAAAATGATTTCTATAGAAAATTTACACAAACCTCTTCGAATAACTTTTGCTCAAGGACATGTAATAACAATAATTTTCTTCGCTTCAATTGTAAACGTCGAACAGTATGATCATGCATTAATTGTGATTTTAAAGTTTGTTCATCGTTGCGTATTTTCAATTGTAAATCATCCTTTAAACGGCGTATTTCATCTTCTTTTTCAGTTTTTCCACGTGTTGATGAACTGAGAATTTCCTATTAAAACAATAGAAGGCTGTCATCAAATTCTATTCAACGCTAAAATAACTGTTTTCCAAGGATAATTCATATATGTCAAACTTAAAACTTGAATTTAATTGAACATCTCTACGCTAAATTATAAATGATATCGGAGTGCGCGTAGCAACTGTTTTTCTTCATTATTAAAGAGTAATGAAAGAGACCTAGAGAAGTCTCTTTTTGCAATAACGTTGACAATTTTGCTTTTGTTTTTCGAAAATATGTGTCGATTGCATTAGAAACTAAATAACTAAAATTACCTTTTTAAGTGTATCTTTTTTCATTTTATATTGTTTTGATTGTTCTTGTTGATAACGTTTAAGTTCATCATCAAAATCTGTTTGTTGTTCACGTTCGAACTTTCTCAAATGATTTTGATTGTATTTAATACGATCAGATAATTCTTTCCGATGCTTTTCTAATAGACGACTATTTTCCAGGTTAACTTGTTCTTGAAATGTACTATATTCTCGTTCAAGTTTACTGCGTAATTCAACTTTATCTTGACGACACCGCTCTTCAAACTAAATAATGGATTCATGCAAGTTCGTTTTTTTCTTCACAGGAATGCAAAATATTTACCTGTTTCAATTGTTTTTGATGTTGTCGTCTCATTTGTTTATAGCCGCGGAATTGTTCACGTTGTTGATCTTCTTGATCGTGTTCGCGTTGTTCACGTATAACAATGCGTGAGGTTTTTATCGTAGAGAATTCATTAGCAAGCGTAGGATGAATATTATGTTGTATTTGCATTGAAGAAGTATCAGACGTTATTGACTTAAATAGAAAATTAGATTCCTGTAAAATTTTTCTTTTCTTGTAGGGGGGGGGGGGGGGGG